ATTAATGGCACGGTAAATGTTGAAAAACAAAACATGTCATAACGTTCTCAGGGCATCTCATCATCATCATCATCATCAGAAATTACTTCAATTGGAAAAAATCGAATCTATCTTAATATTGAAGTTGCCCTCTTTGTATTTCTAGTCGCTCACTTAGTTGGTAGTCGCACGGACAGAATTTTAATATCTAAAATGGATTAAACATAACCCACTCTTTGTAAGCTCGTTCTGCATTTGATTTATTAATCAATATTCGTCATTAGTTAAGTTAATTTTTCGGTTATTCAAATTCATACCGCTCAAGTTATTAAAACAGTATGCCATCATCAGTCGCTAAGTTATTTTTAGTCGATCGTTTTATAATTCCCCATTAAGAATTACTCATTGTTTTTTTCCTAAAACCAACATCTACCTGCTGACAGAGGTAAAGCCTAGCATATACTGAATTCGAATGGTAAAAGCTCGAAAAAATCGTCGTATTTTCAGAAATCCTTACATTTACCAACTCATGTCGGTAAATCCTAAGACTTACACTTAAATCTTAAGATTAACCGTAGTTCGAGCTTTTACAGTAACACATATAAATGTTATTTATATTTAATAGTATGCTAAAACTATATAACATGTCAATTAGTATTCTGTTTAAATATAATATTTTAAAGATTTTTGGCTAGGTGGTTTTTACCTGAAAAAAATCAAAAAGTATATTACTACCATATATTTGCTAAATTTTTCTTAAATTTATGCTAAAAGTATGTAATATTATGACAAAAAAGTGCGGTACCTTACAGTAATAAAACCTCAACAGAAATAATACCAACAGCCTCGCCAAAGAAGTAGAAAATTTGAGAAAAACAAGTCAAAATATGAATTCTGCTAGTTCGAACCAAACCTATTCCTCCCTGGAAACAGTCTGTCATTGCCTGCAAATCATATCTTAGGGTTCCACTGCCACTGTAATCACAAAATAAAATGAAATAATTGTGACAAAAAATATAATACATGACAAACAGTGAAAGACTGATCAAGTGATTTTTTGAGACATAAAAATGCCGGTAGAGCCCTTGAGATATTATTTTATATTTTTTTAATTATTTTTACGGTAATCTACATCTTATGACGCAACTTTTGAGGGGTCTTGTGTAGCGAAAATATAAAAAAAGATATTTCGGGACACCCTACTGTATAAGGACAGCGATTGGGGTTTCATTAATACGAGTACAATCGACGAAGCTTTGAATGCGTTTTTTTTTCTTAATAATTATGGCTTTGCGCGGTTTGCGTATTTAGCCAGTGCTGCATTGTAAAGGAAAATGTAGACTGCGGTTTCGGACTCAGTTCTTAGCAGCGTCAAAGTCATGGTTCGTTGCTACTCCTGACGAGTTGCATACCTAAGCTACTTACGCTTTACTAGGGGATGGTGAACGAGGCCCTTAGATACCCCGTAGACCATTTGTTCCACCACCACACCCCCAGAGGAGGCGCAAAGACCTTTAAAAGGGGGCGCGGGCCATCTGTGTACTTAAAATAAAAAACCTGCGACCGCTGAGAGAATGCATTCCAGAGTGCTCGATACGTCCAATAAAATAATCTTGACTAGAAGAGGGGGGCGCGGAATTTTTTGTATGGTCAAAAGGGGGTGCTTCTCAAATAAGTTTGGGAACCAATGCAAACTGCAGACTTCTAGTCGGCCGATAGTTTGATANATCCCATCAAAAACAATACTTGTCAAAAAAACCAAGTCTCGCAACTCAGTTGTTCTACGGTAAAAAGTTGTGAGATCCATGTAATACCAAGTCCAGGCCAGGCCAGAGGTACTGTTGTGCTTCATCGAATACGTATTTGAAATTCGAATGATTCAAAAAAATCTTGCGTCTCGTTGTGTCAAGGTTGCAAAAAGCTATAAAGGGAATTCTGACCTTATTTTTGATAGCAGTGAGTCGCCTTTTAATGGGAAATTTTTCTATATTTTTTTCGACATAATTGATTCCCTATGGAACACTAGGCACTGGCAGCATGATTTATGATCCTCCAATTTAAATCTCCTTGAAGGATTTATGTGACACTGGCTGAATTTACATAACTCATACTTTTTTTTTTAATTTTCAAACGATTGATAGTTAGGAGGTTAGTATAAGGCCTACTACCCTTCTTGCACTGTGGTACGCTCGCCAATTCAACTGTTCACTGACCATTTCCTATCAAGTCATCGTTTCCTTTGTCGTTAATTTACGAGTATCAGTAATTGCTTGATGAAGCTACTAATTACGGTGACACATTAAAAACTAGAAACGCAAATCAATCATAGATTATGATAATGACTAGGTAGGTTATGATGACAAAATATATATGTTTTCATCGTTTATGAAGACAAAATCGTTTATGATTAAAAAACTATGCCAATTGTGTATTTTAAACAATTCTTACTCGCCAGTAAGAATGCTAATTGCGCTGGCTAATTAAGTTATTTTCTTCTCGGAAAATTAAAATAAACTTTATTGTGAATGTGAATTTAGGTAAAAAATAGCAAATACACGGCTTAATAATAGAAGCGCTCCAAATTCTACCTTTTCAGGCGTATTCACAAATTATACATTCTCAATTTCTTGGGTTTTGAAAACTATGATTTTTCCAATTTCACTTAGGTATAGAACTCCCATTAAGTTAAGCCTAATATAAAGCACTGCTGCTTGAATTACTGATCTAATTTGTTCTTCACCCACAGACACCGCAAGATGGCGCCCAATTGACAGCTGACGACACCAACAACCAAGATGGCGGCGGGTCCGGCCGCGGTGGTAGTCGCGCGCGCCTGCAAGCACTATGGGCGCCCCGACAAACCGGACTACAAGCCAGTGCTTGTGCACCTTGACATGACAGTAGAGAGGGGTATTATGTGAGTATCATTCTCGTATCTCCCACTTTTCTCACCCTATCCCTTAAGTCTCTCATCATCATCATCATCATCATGTCAGCCATAGGGACGTCCACTGCTGAACATAGGCCTCCCCTAATGCTTTCCACATTGATCGATTGGTAGCGGCCTNGTTTGATAGGTCTGTTAATTAGTATGAACATTGAACATTGTATGGAAGTGCCCACGCCACCGATTTGGTATCGGCAAATTTTTTTGTTTAAAGATTGTTAGTAATTTGTTATTGCACAAATTACTAATAGTCCTCATACAAATTGGAAGCCGATCAAACTATCAGCCAACTAAAAGTCGGTAATCTGCAGGGTGTCTTATACTTAAATTATTTTCTCAAGATTACGAGTAAATGGCATAGAATCATTAATCAAATAATCTCTTTTTCAAATATTAGCTTTATTCACACGTGTATTGTACTTATTATTCACAAACCGCGCATCAAGATTGGAGATGATGTCGTGCCCTGCGTGCCCAAACAACTGCACTCAAGAAGACTAATGAAGGCTACTGACAACGCCACTCTTGTAGCGGAGTTTTAAGCTGACACTGTGTAGGCAGAGTTAATACAAATGAGTAGGTATTGGCGCGCTCACATACAAACCGCGCTCGGTGCGTTTCTATGAAGATGACCTACTCATTTGTATTTACACTGGTGTAGGTTTGTTGTCGACATGACAAGAAGATGAATCTTATGTCGTTGTAGTAGGACCTATTTTGCTACAAAAACGTACAGCCTGATGTGCTAGCTGTACAAACGTTTTATAGTGCTCATCGCGTAGCAATTTACCTAGCTCTTATTAAAACGGCTCCAAACAATGACTAATTGACAATACAATTACAGCCTTGAATGAACGTGGCACGTTCATGCCAATTAATTTCCGAGCAATACAGAATAGTAACGCATCTTCTTATTAACCACTTATTTACTGTGACACTGACGCCCGTATTTACAGACATTACTATGAGGTCTCACAGTGCGCGTGGACGCACAGGATGACACACGCACTAATCACATAGGTATGTTCACGGCTGTGCGTTCGATTTGCTGCATCACTTAAGCAAGCATCGTTTGTGAATACGGGCGTAATTTACTTAGTTAACAGTTCATACATAATACCATAAACTATTATTTGTCTGTGACCATAGACTATACACTGCATTAATATGTATCATGTTGTGCTTCATCGAATGCGAATTTGAAATTCGAATGCTTCAAAAAAATCTTGCGTCTCGTTGTGTCGAGGTTACAAAAAGCTATGAAGAGAATTCCGACCTTATTTTTGATAGCAGTGAGTCGCCTTTTAAGGAGATAATTTTTTCAACATAATTGATTCCATGTGCACGGAACACTTGGCACTGGCAGCATGATTTATGATCCTCCAATTTCAATCTCCTTGAAGGATTTATGTGACACTGGCTGTCTATTGTCATGGTTTAAAAAAAACTGATACCTAATTACTTTTTTTTTGACGATTGATTTTGGTACCTAGACAATGTAAATCCTACTATTCCCTTCTTGCACTGTGGTACGATCGCCAATTCAACTGTTCACTGACCATTTCCTATCAAGTCATCGTTTCCTTTGTCGTTAATTTACGAGTATCAGTAATTGCTTGATGAAGCTACTAATTACGGTGACACATTAAAAACTAGAAACGCAAATCAATCATAGATTATGATAATGACTAGGTAGGTTATAATGAGAAAATATTTCTGTCCTCATAAACGTAAAAAACAACGCCAACTATGTATTTTAAACAATTCTTACTGGCGCTGGCTAATTAAAGGTTCTTTTCTTTTTTTTAGGTGAATGAAAAAGAACTTTATTGTGAATGTGAATTTAGGTAAAAAAATAGCAAATACACGGCTTAATAATAGAAGCGCTCCAAATTCTACCTTTTCAGGCGTATTCACAGATTATACATTCTCAATTTCTTGGGTTTTGAAAGCTATGATTTCGCCAAATTCACTTAGGCAACTCTCATTATTAACTTAGTCTTACAATAAGTTAAACCTTAAAATACATAACTACTACTGGAATTACTGATTTAATTTTGTTCTTCCCCCACAGACACCGCAAGATGGCGCCCAACTGAGCTGACGACACCAACAACCAAGATGGCGGCAGGTCCGGCCGCGGTGGTAGTCGCGCGCGCCTGCAAGCACTATGGGCGCCCCGACAAACCGGACTACAAGCCAGTGCTCGTGCACCTTGACATGACAGTTGAAAGGGGTATTATGTGAGTATCATTCTCGTATCTCCCACTTTTCTCACCCTATCCCTTAAGTCTCTCCCCCTCTTATAATTATCTCTTTCACCCTCTCTTAAATCTCACTCCCTCTCTTAACTTCACCTTTGTTAATTCCCTCTCTTAAGCGAGGACACGGACGGACACGGTCACCACTCATCAAATGACATGTTTATGAATGAGTCAACAAAACTGATTCTGATTTCGTTTAGCTTACTACGAGACACGAGTATGTTCGTAAACCAAATACCTTTAACAACCAAAATGTAAATTGCCAACGATCACATCGAAAATAGGAACTACCAAATCCCAAATTTTTCCCTCTTCCAATAATACCACTCAGTTCTACTCCAATATTATCCTCCACTGTTCTCTCTTCTTAATAATTATCACTTTTATCACTCTAGTCTCTTTAAGCAGGCCCCTTTTTTGTCTTCTCTCTTTTTCTCTCATATTCCAACTATTGTTCCATAACATTCTAAGTTCCTGCCTTACTTCTTCTACTACCAAGGTTTAACCATTATTTTTCTATTTCTCAACAGCTATGGCCTCCTAGGCCCTTCAGGGTGCGGGAAGACCACCCTCCTCTCCTGCATAGTGGGAAGAAGAAAACTAGACAGTGGTGACATTTGGGTCCTAGGTGGCACCCCTGGAGAGAAGGGCAGCGGTGTGCCCGGCCCCAGAGTTGGGTATATGCCACAGGTATGTAGGTATATTTTTAACGCTATATTATATCGCAGTGAAGTATTCTTTGAAAATATTATTCTATTCTAACTGCTCGTCAATCCTCGCACGGTAGGCATCTGACTGCTTTTATAGCTGAGGCATCTGACTACTGGTGAAATGGCAATTATCTTGATAGTAACTTAATAATATTATTCTCCCAAAACGTTCATGTTATTACAGCCTAGGTAAATTACTAGTTTATTCTTTAGATCTTGATCATTCAGAAAAAAATGCAGTATCGAATGGTTGGAGACTCTATATGCGATTAGTCTTCATCTAAATTCATTAAAATATGTTTTATTTTTAGATTTCATATACATATTTGACTTCGCTTGACTTTCAACTAAAACTATTAATAGAACGTATCCGGATATTATAGTTCTGGTATTAAACGATTTTTAATTCAATATTCACCATGCGACGTGCCCGATGTGTGCCATATTATTTTGTTAATCTTTTGTAGTTAGTATAAATATGAATTTAACTATAACCGCCTCTGTAATCTAATGTTAAGACCACCTGCTTCAGGCCCAGAGATACCCGGTTCGATTCCCAGTGGATTCTGATTAATTTCGTTGAGGGTCTAATGATAGTTTAACTTTCCCCCGGGACAAACTTGACCTTCACTGGTTGGGTTTTTATTGGCGGTCAAGCTGTAGATCCTGGCTACACAGGAGTTGCAGCGGTGGGGACGAGAGGTGGGAATAGTCCCGTAGCAGAAAACTTAGATAATTTTTTGCATACACCTTCAAGATCAGTCACATAATTCTCTCCTTTCAGGACATAGCACTAGTCGGGGAGTTCACAGTCCGCGNAGTACGGGACGCGATATACTACTTCGGCCGTATATACGGGATGAAGAGCGCCAAACTGAAGGAGAGGTTCGACTTCCTCTCTTCATTGCTGGAGTTGGCAGCTGAAGGGCGGCTGATCAAGTCTCTCTCTGGAGGTCAGCAGAGGAGGGTGTCGTTAGCTGCTGCCCTGGTGCATGAACCAGAGCTGCTGATACTGGATGAACCTACTGTTGGGCTGGACCCAGTTTTGAGAGAGAGGTAAGGTTTAGACTTAAAGTTTGAGTGAACACGATAGTCTTTAAAGAGAGGTAAGTTTAGGATACTATAGATAAACAATGCCTTTATATATATATAGCACTAACGGCTAGTATTTGAAAATGAGCTGTCAAAACACGATTTATTCTCCCATTTTATGAATTTTAGCTTTGAACGTCAACTCCCTGACACCCATACTTAAAACTAACTAAGTGTTAAAGGTTCGCGTACCTAACTTTTTAATACTAGTATTTTATGATCTGTGATAAGAGTTTGGGTTAAAAGTAATTGGTAAAAGTTATGCTTCTCAAAGGCTCTACCTAAAATTACTCAGGTAGGTTTTTCGTCACAGTGATAATTTTCGAACTAAACTAAGTGGTTGTTTTAGTACACATATAAAAACTACATTATTTAGATTTAGCATATTATTTAAAACTGCATTAGAGATACATAAAAATAGCATCAGGATGTGCATAAAAACACTTGACATTTGAATAGTTTGGTACTTTATCTTAAAATAGCAATTTTAAAACACGTTATCTATTTTATTAATTCATCTATTATGTAAACAAATAAAATGCAGGTTAAATGTCATTTTCATAATTAAATTGTTTTACTAATGACCCTCCCCGGCTCGCGGATTACAGGTAGATAAGGTACTAAACTTTTTTTTTTAATTACAGATTAAAAAAATATAAGCCTATGTTCATAAGACAAAAAAAATGGATTCCAAATTCAATGGTAATAGAAGTTTAGAAGTTTCGGAGCCTATTCAATACAAACACAATAAAAACATAAATATACATGGTTTCTATAAAACAAATCTACAGTTGTTATTAAAATGTTCTTGAAAATGTAAATGTTTGACAAAATGTTCAAATCAAACATCAAGGTCCGTCAATATACATACAGACGACCCTTTTCGGCACTCAGTCAGACTGTAAATACTGCTCGCATACAAATATTTGCCTTTACTCAATCTTCATCAATTTGCGAAGTATTAAACTTTTAACGGCCTAGAACGAGTCGGGATTATACGCGAAGGTTCCTTAGATTTGAATAATTCGTTAAGATTAGTTCCGTATATGATTGTCTAGGCCCCCAGTCAGTAAAATCGACAAAAAACGTCCTACAATTATAAAATACTTAGTGCAGTTATTTCAGCACTATGGCACATTTAATAGGTAAGTTATTCGTAAATAGGTATGATTATTTCACACCCCTATTAGATTCCACATTAAGCTTATTATTAATACACATTGAATAAAAAAAAATCAGATATCACTTTTTACGGTTTATAATTTTTTCCACTACCTCTGTCCTGTCTTTGAGGAATTCTTTACATGTCTCCTACAGTGCAGACTAACACCCGTGTTCACAAACATTATTATGAGATCTCACAGTGCGCGTGGACGCACAGGGTCACACACGAACCAATCACAGAGCTCTATTCAACGCTATGCGTTCGATTTGCTGCTTCACTTAAGCAAGCATCATTTGTGAATAAGAGTGTTATGACCTGATGATAATGATTATGATTATACCGCAGACAGAAACTAATGCTAAAGTACTTCTACCAAAGTTACTAGATCGCGGGAATGAGGGATTGAAAGTGCAACAAAAATTCTAGATCAAACAACTACAAGAACTTCTTGTGTTTGATATTGCAATGAAACTGTACAGCTTGANTACATGGTTTCTATAAAACAAACCTACAGTTGTTATTAAAATGTTCTTGAAAATGTAAATGTTTGTCAAAACGTTCAAATCAAACATCAAGGTTTGTCAATATACATACAGACGACCCTTTTCGGCACTCGGAGTCAGACTGTAAATACTGCTCGCATACAAATATTTGCCTTTACACAACCTTCATCAATTTGCGAAGTACCTATTAAACTTTTAACGGCCTAGAACGAGTCGGGATTGTACGCGAAGGTTCCTTACATTTGAACAATTCGTTAGGATTAGTTCCGTATACTTTATGATAGGCATACGTAAGGCAGGCCTCCTACTAGGTAGACCGACGATCTGGTGAAGGTCGCGGGAAGAGCCTGGATGCGGGCAGCGCAGGACCGTTCATTGTGGAAAACCTTGGAGGAGACCTTTGTCCAGCAGTGGACGTCATTCGACTGAAACGAACGAACATTTATGATTGTCTAGCTAGGTCAGTAAAATCGACAAAAAACGTCCTACAATTACAAAATACTTAGTGCAGTAATTTCAGCACTTGTCCACATAAGTTATTCGTAAATAGGTACGATTATTTTACACCCCGATTAGAGCTGAATACACATAGCTTTTGCCCGCGGCTTCACCCGCGTGAAATTTAGTTTGTCACAGATCGTCATAAATAATAGCCTATTATGTTATTCTGGGTCATAAACAACAATACTGTAAAGTTTCATCAAATCCGTTCAGTAGTTTTTGCGTAAAAGAGTAACAAACATGTTAACATTCAGACATACATACAGACTTTCGCATTTATAATATTAGTAAGATACAAAAATATAAATTAAAATAAATTCAGATACAGTTTTTACGGTTTATAAGTTTTTCCATCACCAAGATTTAGCACTCATCAACGTCACGCAAAGGAGTCCTGTTCTTAAGGAGTTCTTTACTAGTCTTTATGTCTCTATACAGACTAAATGACCTGTTGATAATGATGATGAATATGCCGCAGACAGAAACTATTGCTAAATTACTAACGCCCGTACACAAACGATGCTTGCTTAAGTGAGGCAGCAAATCGAACGCACAACGTTGATAGAGCTCTGTGATAGGTTTGTGTGTCACCATGTGCGTCCACGCACACTGTGAGACCTCATAGTAATGTTTGCGAATATGGACGTAAATTATGTAGCAAAGTTACTAGATCGCGGGAATGAGTGATTGAAAACGAAGCAAAAATTCTAGATCTGGTACAGACAACCTGATGGCATATCAAGCTAAAAAATACTGCAGCGTCTTGTGTAATTGTAATAGGTTCGATTTTGCTATGAAACTGTACAGCTTGATGTGCTGTCAATTAAGTAGGTATACGTTGCAATCATTTGAGCAATTCTCGAGCAGTTTTTGCGCTTTTTTTCCTTTGATTGACTTGTTCACGTATTAATAAGAAGGCGACAGACGCTGTTATATTGATTTAGTAACCTATTGAAATAAATGCAATAAAATTAATTACAGTATTGAGTTGTATTATCAATTTGCGCCTCAGAATTGCCATACTTATGAGGCAGTAGGCGGGGCACATAGCTCGTAGAGCTGATGGCCGTTGGGGCAGAAAAGTTCTCGAGTGGCGACCGCGGACCGGAAGACGTAGAGTAGGCAGGATCTTACTCGGTGGACCAACGATCTGGTGAAGGTCACGGGAAGCACAGGACCTGTAGTTGTGGAAATCATTTGGGGAAGCCTTTGTCCAACTTTGAACGTCTGTTACTTAAATCAAACGAGATAATGTACAAAAAGATTGCTATACGTCATCGTTTGGTTGACATTTTACATCTTCAATGCGAAATGCCAAGTTGAATCATTTTATTGGAAACCCCCAAAGCCAAAATCCTTTCGTTTCAAACGAAGGCATATTATATAACCATTGCATGACAATACCCATGTATTCCGACAATATACCCATTATATCTGGCATATTTCTCCTGTCCGAGAGAATGGTTAATCTTCCAACAATTATGGTGGTTATTAGGACGGAACCCGAGCTCGCAGGCGATGAGCTATCAGCTGACTCGGTTATTATTGCCATAGCCTGAATAGATCAGCTTCAAAAGTCTTCGGTGTCTATTCACATATGACTGCCACAGAATACCAGCGTTAAGCTGAGTGGCTGCCATTTTGGTTCAAATTAAACAAACTATGTACTTACACTGATGTTGTAGTCTAAGTATTATGGACGGAATAAAAAATCTTTCGTCTTTCTTTCTTTCAAAACTATTTGGCCTAAAAACAAAAGAATGGCAAAGTACCAAGAGCGTCACAGACTCACGGTAAAAAAAAGGTTTTCGAAGCCTTGGACTAGTGCAATCAAATATCACGTAATATTAATCGTTAAAAAGACAATTTGGCTATGATAGTACCGATAGAGTAGAATATGACCATTCCCAATCTTCCCCCGTGGATATCGCAAAAGAACCAAGAGACATAATTATGTGAACATCAGGCCTCCTCCAGCCCGCGCGTTGGGAGTGTACGCCAAATTCTCCATTTACCATTTATTTTGATAGATTAGTGCCCGTTTTCACCATCAATCCCTAATTTTTAAGTGACCCTATGGTAACAAATAATATGAAATTTGTTTTCATAGGGGTCACTTAAAAATTAGGGATTGATGGTGAAAACGGGCATAGATCTCCTTTAGTGAAGACTGAAGACTGGTTCTGGCATTAGGTTACACTATTTTGCCAAGCTCTCAATAAAAGTGAGGTAACCGTTATATTTTGACTACGACACCGGTTTTCGCACAGCATCGATTGTTTTTACTCGTTTAAGTAAGCCAGTGTACCGTGTTAATGATGATTAATGGTACATGTTGATTGCTGTAGATAAGTAGGTGGTGGATTTGTGACACTTTAGTTTTCTAATGTCATGGAGAACTAGGTGACAATGTTTTTGACATATTCTGGTAAAGAGAGGCGGCAGGAGATTAGGGACAAAAATACAAATCAGCCGACCCCCCTTGGCCCCGGTGTGTCACACAGTATTTTTTTTAATATAATCAAAAATCTCAGATTGAAAAAGCACTATGACTCAAATGTTCTGGATTCGATTAATCAGGCATTTCACACTTATTTTTCAGTATCATTAGTGCATACTTGAATAAACTTAATGAATTCTTAAATAGACTATCAATAATTAATCTTCATTTTAATTAATTGATTTTTCTTAACATTTACTTAAGTAAACAAATTAATCTAACACAGTATTGCATGACTGAAACATGTCTCAATTAAAATAATAACAGAGAACAATAGTTAGTAAAGGTTTGCTATTAATTTCAAGCCGATCGTGTTGGTAATGCAATTTGCAAGATAGGTAATTATTATAGTAATAGAACAATAGGCGGCCACGACATTGTCTTGGCGGAAGAAATATAAAACGTTTGTTGTGGTTTTATTCCAACGATAACATCCGAGGCAATGAAGTTGATGTAAAGGTATATTCACAATAGTATTGGTTGGGTTTTTATGGCGCTCAAGCTGTAGATCCTGGCTACACAGAAGTTGCCGTGGTGGGAATGAGAGGTGGGAATAATCCCGTTTTTTTAATATTTGATACGTAACGCGAGCGGGACGTATCGAAGATTTGCCACAGAGTCGACTAGTCACAAGCATGTTTAAATTCGTCACACTTTACAATTATTTCGCAATTAAGTAAGTAGGTATGCTTTATTTTTTCAGCAATATTATTTTAGCTTATCCCATAAGTAAGTACAGAACGGGCAGCAGCGCTCTCTGAAAAACATCAATCTTTTAAACTGCGATCTCCAACCCACCTGCCAAGCGTGGGGATTATGGCAAAACCCTGCACTATAGTGGAGGAGGCTTATAGTCCAGCAGTGGACTGTAAAAGGCTGTTGATAATGATGATGATGATATCTAAAATCTAAATTGCTAAAGTAACTCAATAAGTAGAGATTCAACTATATTTTATAAAACTTGAAATACAAATAGCTGTTTTGTAACCATAGGGCTTAGATTAATAAAACCTAGATGGATAGTCTTCATACAAACGCTTCGTCAAGAGTGAGGCAAAAATCTTATGTCATTAGTGTCAATTTTGTTGGGGAGTGTAGACAGTGAAGGCGAATTTCCCGAAAGTAGGGAAATTTTTAATACATTTTTAATTATTTTATAATTAACAAAAACAAAACGCATCATGTACTTACTTATTTATTGAATTCAAAGTACCTACCTAATAACAATAAGATAAATCGACTTATGCTGGATTTCTATATTCAATCCTAATCCAAATTATACGGATTTGGATTGTCAACTGTCAAATTTTAATATGTTTTTGGCCAAAATAACTGCGGTTTTTTATGTTTTTACATTTTTATATTGTTTATAAGACTATTTAAACAATATTAAAGTGTAAATGCATCGAAAATTTTGGAAATATAATCTAAAACTGAATTCAATTTGACAGTTGTAATCCGGATTTGGACAAGGATTGAATAAGGGAATCGGGCGTTAAAAGTCTCGATTTCATAAAAAAAGGAAGTGTATTTGTACGGCGAACAATTGGGAAATAAATTTTCTTGTTACTGGTATCATTCCCGTATTTAATTTTTGAAAGCCAAATTCAAGCAAAATACGCGTCGAATTGTACTTACTTATGAAATGTAACACTGATCACTTTCTTTCGTTTTTCTGATGTATTTTAGACACCCTTTCACAACACTAACCGTTTTAATTAATTAAAATTCGTCGGACGTGTTTACCAATTTTTCACTTTGACAGTTCATGTGACGTTTACGGGTGAGCCGTGCCGGCTCCCTAAAAACTGCCTCACCTTTCGTGCACTGACTATCTATCTAGGTTTTATTAATCTAAGCCATAGGGCATAAAAATGCAACATAATAAAGGAAGAACGATTTAATTTATTCCAGCACAATATTATCATTTTCTGTGTGCTACTTNGTTCTTCACCCACAGACACCGCAAGATGGCGCCCAATTGACAGCTGACGACACCAACAACCAAGATGGCGGCGGGTCCGGCCGCGGTGGTAGTCGCGCGCGCCTGCAAGCACTATGGGCGCCCCGACAAACCGGACTACAAGCCAGTGCTTGTGCACCTTGACATGACAGTAGAGAGGGGTATTATGTGAGTATCATTCTCGTATCTCCCACTTTTCTCACCCTATCCCTTAAGTCTCTCATCATCATCATCATCATCATGTCAGCCATAGGGACGTCCACTGCTGAACATAGGCCTCCCCTAATGCTTTCCACATTGATCGATTGGTAGCGGCCTGCATCCAGCGCTTCCCTGCTACCTTCACGATGTCGTCGGTCCACCTTGTAGGTGGACGTCCCACGCTGCGCCTTCCGGTACGCGGCCTCCATTCCAGAACCTTGCTGCCCCATCGGCCGTCAGTTCAGCGCACTATGTGCCCTGCCCATTGCCACTTCAGCTTGCTAATCCGTCAGGCTATGTCAGCGACTTTAGTTCGTTTACGGATTTCCTCATTTCTGATTCGATTAAGTCTCTCCCCCTCCTATAATTATTTCTTTCACCCTCTCTTAAATCTCACTCCCTCTCTTCTCTCTTCAACTTTGTTAATTCTCTCTCTTAAGCGAGGACACGGACGGACACCTCACCACTCATCAAATGACATGTTTATGAATGAGTCAACAAAACTGATTCTGATTTCGTTTAGCTTACTACGAGACACGGGTATGTTCGTAAACCAAATACCTTAACAACCAAAATGTAAATTGCCAACTATCACATCGAAGATAGGAACTACCAAATAACACCCAAATAAATCCCAACTTTTACCCTCTTCCAATACTCTACCTCTACCTCTCCTCTTCCGGCCTATCTTACACGATTTTCTGGCAATATTGTCCTCCACTTTTCTCTCTTCCTAATAATTATGTTATTTCTTCTACCACCAGAGTTTAACCATTATTTTTCTATTTCTCAACAGCTATGGCCTCCTAGGCCCTTCAGGATGCGGGAAGACCACCCTCCTCTCCTGCATAGTGGGAAGAAGAAAACTGGATAGTGGCGACATTTGGGTCCTAGGTGGCACCCCTGGAGAGAAGGGCAGCGGTGTGCCCGGCCCCAGAGTTGGGTATATGCCACAGGTATGTAGGTATATTTTTAACGTTATATTATATCGCAGTGAAGTATTATTTGAAAATATTCTTTACTGACTGCTCGTCAATCCTCGCAAGGCAGGCACATTTTATATGATGCATCTGACTACTGGTGAAATGGTTTATCTTGATAGGTACTAATATAATGATATTTTCCTAAAACGTTCATAAGTTATTACAGCCTAGGTAAATTACTAGATTATTCTTTCGATCTTGATCATTCGGAAAAAATGCAATATCGAATGGTTGGAGACTCCTACAAAAGTAGAATATGAATTTAACTATAACCGCCTCTGTAATCTAATGTTAAGACCACCTGCTTCAGGCCCAGAGACACCCGGTTCGATTCCCAGTGGATTCTGATTAATTTCGTTGCGGGTCCAATGACAGTTTAACTTTCTCCCGGGACTAACTTTATCTTCACTGGTTGGGTTTTATTAGCGGTCAAGCTGTAGATCCTGGCTACACAGAAGTTGCAGCGGTGGGGACGAGAGGTGGGAATAGTCCCGTAGCAAAAAACTTAGAGTATTTTTTGCATACACCTTCAAGATCAGTCACATAATTCTCTCCTTTCAGGACATAGCACTAGTCGGGGAGTTCACAGTACGGGACGCGATATACTACTTCGGCCGTATATACGGGATGAAGAGCGCCAAACTGAAGGAGAGGTTCGACTTCCTCTCTTCATTGCTGGAGTTGGCAGCTGAAGGGCGGCTGATCAAGTCTCTCTCTGGAGGTCAGCAGAGGAGGGTGTCGTTAGCTGCTGCCCTGGTGCATGAACCAGAGCTGCTGATACTGGATGAACCTACTGTTGGGCTGGACCCAGTTTTGAGAGAGAGGTAAGGTTTAGACTTAAAGTTTGAGTGAACACGATAGTCTTTAAAGAGAGGTAAGTTTAGGATACTATAGATAAACAATGCCTTTATATCATAGCACTAACGGCTAGTATTTGAAAATGAGCTGTCAAAACACGATTTATTCTCCCATTTTATGAATTTTAGCTTTGAACGTCAACTCCCTGACACCCATACTTAAAACTAAGTGTTAAAGGTACGCGTACCTAACTTTTTAATACTAGTATTTTATGATCTGTGATAAGAGTTTGGGTTAAAAGTAATTGGTAAAAGTTATGCTTCTCAAAGGCTCTACCTAAAATTACTCAGGTAGGTTTTTCGTCACAGTGATAATTTTCGAACTAAACTAAGTGGTTGTTTTAGTACACATATAAAAACTACATTATTTAGATTTAGCATATTATTTAAAACTGCATTAGAGATACATAAAAATAGCATCAGGATGTGCATAAAAACACTTGACATTTGAATAGTTTGGTACTTTATCTTAAAATAGCAATTTTAAAACACGTTATCTATTTTATTAATTCATCTATTATGTAAACAAATAAAATGCAGGTTAAATGTCATTTTCATAATTAAATTGTTTTACTAATGACCCTCCCCGGCTCGCGGATTACAGGTAGATAAGGTACTAAACTTTTTTTTTTAATTACAGATTAAAAAAATATAAGCCTATGTTCATAAGACAAAAAAAATGGATTCCAAATTCAATGGTAATAGAAGTTTAGAAGTTTCGGAGCCTATTCAATACAAACACAATAAAAACATAAATATACATGGTTTCTATAAAACAAATCTACAGTTGTTATTAAAATGTTCTTGAAAATGTAAATGTTTGACAAAATGTTCAAATCAAACATCAAGGTCCGTCAATATACATACAGACGACCCTTTTCGGCACTCAGTCAGACTGTAAATACTGCTCGCATACAAATATTTGCCTTTACTCAATCTTCATCAATTTGCGAAGTATTAAACTTTTAACGGCCTAGAACGAGTCGGGATTATACGCGAAGGTTCCTTAGATTTGAATAATTCGTTAAGATTAGTTCCGTATATGATTGTCTAGGCCCCCAGTCAGTAAAATCGACAAAAAACGTCCTACAATTATAAAATACTTAGTGCAGTTATTTCAGCACTATGGCACATTTAATAGGTAAGTTATTCGTAAATAGGTATGATTATTTCACACCCCTATTAGATTCCACATTAAGCTTATTATTAATACACATTGAATAAAAAAAAATCAGATATCACTTTTTACGGTTTATAATTTTTTCCACTACCTCTGTCCTGTCTTTGAGGAATTCTTTACATGTCTCCTACAGTGCAGACTAACACCCGTGTTCACAAACATTATTATGAGATCTCACAGTGCGCGTGGACGCACAGGGTCACACACGAACCAATCACAGAGCTCTATTCAACGCTATGCGTTCGATTTGCTGCTTCACTTAAGCAAGCATCATTTGTGAATAAGAGTGTTATGACCTGATGATAATGATTATGATTATACCGCAGACAGAAACTAATGCTAAAGTACTTCTACCAAAGTTACTAGATCGCGGGAATGAGGGATTGAAAGTGCAACAAAAATTCTAGATCAAACAACTACAAGAACTTCTTGTGTTTGATATTGCAATGAAACTGTACAGCTTGAGGGTACTTCTCATTTACACTCAAATTTGATGGTCACACAATAATATTTCATAAACGGTATAAGTTAGAACAATAACTTTGAAATCAGATGATAAAATATCTATTTAGCTACATACAAAATAAATTTTATCGTAAAAGAACCAAAAATAATACGAAAAAATCACATGAAACGATAAAAAACGGGGTCATTTTTCGCGTTCTCATCGTGTCACACCTTCGGTTGCAATGAAACATTTGGTTACTGCATTCACAATTTTCATTCAATTTGTGTGTAGCATATACTAAAATCATCGTAATTAAATATACTTTCCACACAATAGTCAAAAAAATATCTTCTTATAATTATTTTGAATTGAGAAAGCGAAATACGTTGGTCACACGATTTTAGGTACCTAAAATTTTGAGTAATAATACAAGATTGTCGTTAAACCGAACACCAGCAACCAATCACAGCATTCTATTCGGTTAGCGTCAGTCGCGCTTCGACCATTGGGGAGGTGAGATAGGTCCATCGTCGCTCCGCGAAAAAAATACGTAACTTTTTGTGATTATCCATAGACATACCGTCGCTTGTTTGAACAATATTTTCTACCTCTAAAGTTTAAACAATTTAATTGAAACTTTGCCATTGAAAACTTAACATGTCAGACTTATTTGTGTAGTATTAGACTTGAACCGTTAAATTCAAATTTAAGGATAATTCATAAAAAACTAAAATTTTCGTCACCTTCGTGGCATCACCTTCGTGGTGTTTTATACACGAAGGTGATTTTAGGCCACGAAAGTGATTTCTTGCTTTGGTTTATTTTAAAATATAGTGACTGGTGTTTATGTTTTTACGATATTTTAATAACTAATAAATTATACGTGGTAAGTAGAGATCAGTACATCAATAAATAAATAAGGGTCTCATTTTTTTGTTATCTGTCTGTCTGTATGACTGTATGTATGTCTGTATATGTGACTGTGTATCTGTTTGTAAGATAAACTTAATCTGAAGTTTGAGTTAAAAGTTGTACAACAAAAATACGAGGCCCTCTGGCCTAAATAAAAAAATATATTTTTGTTGAGGTACTGATAATCAGTTAGAGTTCTTTTTTATTAAGGTAACTGATAATCCGTTTTTTGCTTCTTTAGTATTTCAGAATGCCACCAGTGTCACCCTTAAAACCAATTGCGTAGAATCTTGTAACTTAATAGGTGACGTAATCGGTAAAATTTTATCTTGTATTTAAGTAGGTACCTATTTATATTATGTTATTGCTGTTTGTCTATTAAAATAAGACAAAATATATGTTTTATAAACACTTAAGAGGCATTTACAGTAATAAAGTTTGAAAAAATTATTGCTGTGAAGTACAGAATCACTTTCGTGGCATCAAAAAATTCAAAACGTGAAAGCTTCCAAACGAGACTCACTATTTGTCTGATTTACTGAGAATACAGTCTTCACATCAAGCGCTACAATTTTTGTTTACAAAACGTTGAAATAAGTTAGAAATAAAATTCGCCACGAAGGTGACGATGAGAACCGTGGCGATGAGAAATACCCTTGATATGCTGTCAACTATACGTTGCAATCATTTGAGCAATTCTCGAGTGGTTTTGCGCTTTTTTTCCTTTGATTGACTTGTTCACGTCCTGATAAGAAGGCGACAGAAACTGTTACTTTGATTTAGTAACCTATTGAAATAAATGCAAAAAAATTAATTACAGTATTGAGTTGTATTATGAATTTGCGCCTCAGAATTGCCAAACATAAGTGGCAGTGGGCGGGGCACATAGCTCGTAGAGTTAATGGCCGTTGGGGCAGAAAAGTTCTCGAGTGGCGACCGCGGCCCGAAAGACGTAAAGTAGGCAGGATCTTACTCGGTGGACTGACGATCTGGTCAAGGTCACGGGAAACAAAGGCCTTTTGTTGTGAAAATCCTTTGGGGAAGCCTTTTTCCAACTTTGAACATCTGTTAGTTAAATCAAACGAGATAATGTACAAAAAGAGTGCTATACGTCATCTTTTGGTTGACATTTTACATCTTCAATGCTAAATGCCAAGTTGAATCATTTTATTGGAAACCCCCAAAGCCAAAATCCTTTCGTTTCAAACGAAGGCATATTATATAACCATTGCATGACAATGCCCATGCATTCCGACAATATACCCATTATATCTGGCATATTTCTACTGTCCGAGAGAATGGTTAATCTTCCAACAATTATGGTGGTTATTAGGACGGAACCCAGCTCGCAGGCGATGAGCTATCAGCTGACTCGGTTATTATTGCCATAGCCTGAATAGAACAGCTTCAAAAGTCTTCGGTGTCTATTCACATATGACTGCCACAGAATACCAGCAGTTTGCTCTATGTCCTAACCTAGAGCATAACACATGCTGAGTGACTGCCATTTTGGTTCAAATTAAACAAACTATGTTGTACTTACATTGATGTTGTAGGTAGTGTAAGTATTTTGGACTGAATAAAAAAATCTTTCTTCTTTCTTTCCTTCAAACTTTTTGGCATAAAACCATAAGAATGGCAAAGTACCAAGAGCGTCACAGACTCACGGTAAAAAAAAAGGTAGGGAAGATCTGGACTAGTGAAAAACATTGAAAAAAATTGCGCAATCAAACAGCACGCTGCTATTGTTTATCACCTTGAAAATTGTAAAAAGACATTTTGGCTATGATGGTACCGATAGAGTAGAATATGACCATTCCCATTCTTCCCGTGGATATCGCAAAAGGCAAACATCAGCCTTTCCCAGTCAGCGTTGGGAGTGTACGCCAAATCCTCAATTATCATTGATTTTGATAGATTAGTGCCCGTTTTCACCATCAATCCCTAATTTTTAAGTGACCCCGAATGATGAAACCAAAATTCCTGTTTATGTGTTACCTAAGGGGTCACTTAAAAATTAGGGATTGATGGTGAAAACGGGCATAGATCTCCTTTAGTGAAGAGTGAAGAGTGGTTCTGGCATTAGGTTACACTATTTTGCCAAGCTCTCAATAAAAGTGAGGTAACCGTTATATTTTGACTACGACACCGGTTTTCGCACAGCATCGATTGTTTTTACTCGTTTAAGTAAGCCAGTGTACCGTGTTAATGATGATTAATGGTATGTTGATTGCTATAGATAGGTGGTGGATTTGTGACACTTATCGGGTTTTCTAAGCCATGAGAATTAAGTGACTATGTTTTGACATAATTACCATACTCCTAAATTCACAGATTGAAAAAGCACTATGACTCGAATGTTCTGTAGGCCTAAGATGCGCGCCACGATAAGCGGTTATCACTCCATTTTATCGATTTTGCCCCTCAGTTTTGCCCATACATTTTGACGTCGATAAAAGTTATCACGGCGCGCATCTTATGCTAACTGGATTTGATTAATCAGGCATTTCACACTTTTTTTTCATTTTCATTAGTGCATACTTGAATAAACTTAATGAATTCTTAAATAGACTATCACTAATGTAATCTTCATTTTAATTAATTGATTTTTCTTAACATTTACTTAAGTAAACAAATTAATCTAACACAGTATTGCATGACTGAAACACATCTCAATTAAAATAATAACAGAGAACAATAGTTAGTAAAGGTTTGCTATTAATTTCTAGCTCGATCGTGATGGTGATGCAATTTGCAAGATAGGTAATTATTATAGTAATAGAACAATAGGCGGCCACGACATTGTCTTGGCGGAAGAAATATTACGTCTGTTGTGGTTTTATTCCAACGATAACATCCGAGGCAATGAAGTTGATGTAAAGGTATATTCACAATAGAATTTGGTACGTAACGCGAGCGGGACGTATCGTAAGATTTGCCACAGAGTCGACTCGTCGTCACAGAGAAAAGCATATTTAAATTCGTCACACTTTATAATTACATGTTTCGCAATTAAGTATGCAATATTTTTTCAGCAATCTTATTTTAGCTTATCCCATAAGTAAGTAAACCTAAATAGGCTACAGAGAACGGGCAGCAGCGCTCTCTGAAAATCATCAATCTTTTAAACTGCGATCTCCAACCCGCCTGGCAAGTGTGGGGATTATGGCAAAACCCTCCACTACAGTGGAGGAGGCTTATAATAATAGTCCAGCGGTGGACTGTAAAAGGCTGTTGATAATAATGGTGATGATATCTAAATTCTTAAAGTAACTCAATACTGACTGTAAACTGTTTGTATACCTATTACAAATAAATAAATAAATAAGTAGAGATTCAACTTTATTTTATAAAACTTGAAATACAATAGCTCTTTTGTAATCATAGCGCATAAAAATGCAACATAATAAAGGAGGAACGATTTAATTTATTCCTTGCCACTTGTAAGCACAATATCATTTTCTGTGTGCAGGAGGAAGCTACTTAGAGAAACTTGATTCTTTTGTTACATATCAAGATCAGATTACCATCAGTCTGTCATCCCGCTTATATTTACTACTAACTACGTAACTATCTCACTAACTTTAACACATCCTGATATGCAATCATAAACGAGAAAAACAGATAGGGACCCAAAATTCTAATTTTACTGTAGTGAACCAGTGGGTTTTGATATGAGTGCGTAACCCACAATTAGCTTATTCTTTTTTTAATATGCAAGGAGTAGGACTGAAAAGATAATGGCGGCCACGAAAATACAATGAGGAAAGCCCTCAACTCGGTAGACTGACAATCCTAGATGCCTCGAACGCGGGTAGGGCACAGCAGGATCTTTGACTTACTTGACTTATGGTCCTTTGTCCCCTAGATGGGGCAGAGGGCGTCCACAACAGTCCTCCATCGCGTTCGGTCTTGAGCTATGTGTTTGATCTCGCTCCAATTCTTGCCGATCTTCTTCGCCTCGTCTGCCACAGTGCGCCGCCAAGTTTGCTTGGGGCGACCACGTTTGTAGGTCGGGTCGGGCAGGATCGGTCTTGTAGAAAACCTTGGAGGCCTTGGTTCAGCAGTGGACGTCCTTTGGCTGAAATGGCTATTATTGTGCTAGAAATAACATGTGAAACCAAAGTATACTTAGAACCAAAAAAATAATTTTCTTACGGCCATAGCATCACTAGGTATTTAGCAATCGTCCCACGTCACAACAACATCGTACAATGATTCACTTTTCCTGTCAATCGATTGTTAATTACGTAGCTTTCATTATCAACTTAATCAACTTTATCTGTTCCTTATATCTCTGTGTTTAAAGTTCAAAATGCTATAATTTAGAACATGCCCATGATTCGGGATACCTTCGAAGCAATGACATTTGGTTCGAGGAGGGAATGCTCAATTAGTTTGCATATTAAGTTGTTGTGCATTTGTTGGAGAACTTTCTGGAAATTATGCTCTATAAATCGTATTTTATGGGTTTTGTGATGGAAATACTGCGCCTGTAAAATTATGGTGTCGCCAAATGGGAGTCCATTGCTTAATCGCTAGAGTTGACGCTAACTAATTTATCAATGAAGTAATGCGTGCCTATTTATTTAATTAATTGACCGAAATACCTACAAAAACGGGTTAGATATTCTCACTTTGCGCCATCGCTTGCTTATGTGAAGTAGCAATTGGAACGCACAGCGTTGTATACAGCTCTGTGATTGGTTCGTGTGTCGCCCTGTGTTACACCACGCGCACTGTGAGACCTCATAGTAATGTTTGTGAATACGGACGAAAGTCAAATCGTCGCACATTTTTTAAGTTTCTATATTGAAAGTAAATTAAATTTCCTATTTAACGTAAATAACACAAATTCAAATTTAAATCTCATTTGACCTCTCATTTCCACCGCTGCAAGTCCTGTGTAGCCAGGATCAACCCACAGCTTGGCCGCCAATAAAGACCCAACCAGTGAAGTTTAAGTTTGTACCGGGGGAAAGTTATCATTAGATCCGTAACAAAATAAATTATCCCTAATTTGACACGAGAAATTTAAAAATTGTGACGAATTAAGCTGTAAATAAAGATTTGAGTATTGAGTATTGAGTATTGACTAGTCGACTCTGTTGCAAACTGTGTGCAAATCATCAAAATTTCCAAAAACGCTTAGAAATAGATTTCCCGGTTCGTCTTAATAGCAGCTATTAAATAAATACGTCAGCAAATTAGTTAAAAAAGTTAGCGATAAACTGTCCGTCATTAACTGAACACAATTCTCATTATAGTTGTACATATTTATGTATTTATTTACCCATTAGTCACGCGATGCTGATCAAGAACATGTTATTACTTATTTGACAGCACTCTGTTTGTAAGAAAAAAGTTAATTGATAAAAAAGTCTAATCATTTTGTTGTTATTTTTATTTTTACTTCGAAATCACGTGAACCATTTCGTTTTAGCCGTTGTTTATAATACCTACATTGGGTATTATTTTTATAATTATTTTCCTAACTAAATATTAGATACTTTTTCTCTACACTAATATTATAAAAAGGAAGCATTTGAAAAAAATAATTAAAAAATGAGATTTTCTGTATTGAATAGGCTCCGAAACTACTGGACTGATTTTAAAAAATCTTTCAACATTCGAATCCTAAATTATTCCTGATAAACATTAGTTTATACAATTATTATAGCGCGCGACACGAAGCGACTATGGGAAATTAAGCCTTTTGACAGCTCAAAAAAGTTATGTCAGATATGGGAGTGTCAGCTAGCCCAGTAAACAGTCTATAATTTGGTTAATAAACCTGATGTTACAGTAACTTGTCGTAACAAACTGCCTTATTTTCCAGGATATGGGAGTTCCTAGCAGAGCTCGCGCGAGGCGGCACCACAGTCATCATAACCACACATTACATTGACGAAACGAAACAAGCACACAAGGTAACTATTTGTAGCTTATAACGATAGATTTTGGAGCTTGTACTGGTATATTAAGGTTCATAGTTTACTGAAAAAAATAAGGACGATAAGACATCGACATGTAAAAAAAAGTGAAAACTTAACACAACGAAAGTTACTGGCAGTTTACACGTCTACTGATTTTAAAAAGTTGCTAATGATGACAACGCACAATCCAAGACAAATTATAATACATAAATCTTGAGTTTGAATTTGGAACGTCAAAATATTGACAGTGATTTTTTTGTTTTTTTATGACTTGGCGTGTTCTATCCGTGAAATACTGGCGACACACATGTACCTAATGATTGTAGTGTCCTTGCAGAAAGAAATAAAAAAAGCACCAAGAAGGTTTTCATTAGCTCAATGCTAGATTTGCCGCCAATTTCGTCAATGTCGCGATTAGCTTTGTAGCTGTAATTGATTTATAATAAAGATTACTGGCGATTGCATCTGATAGCTAGTCTGTTGCATGGTTGCACTTAAGTAGCTGTTGAAACTCATTGATATTCAATAACCACAGCCATGAAGCGATTGCGACTGTTGCTATTGTGGGATATCATTATTAGATAATTAGCTATTTCATACAACAGACATTGAAACATTAATATCTTATTCAAATGATTTTTTTCTAAACTTCATACTTGTCTAATTTTGGCGTCTTCACCGATCTTGGCAGGTCTAAATGTGACGTTAATGCCAAGTAAATTCACCGATTTTGAGTTTGAGTTTCAGAAATAAAAATATAAATTACTACTTGGTACAATGACGTCAATAATATCATGTCATGTCAGTTTTATTTATATTGACCCGACGACCCGACTAATAATTTGAACCTAGGCCTTGCAGAGTTAACTAAGTACGTCACTACGCCGAATGTCTGTATGATTGATTTTATTGAACGATAGAAGTTTCCATTTTTGTTTTAAAGATGGAATCTTCCAGAAGCCTTTTCTTGAGCATCTACTTTCCAAGAATCCACAGCAAGACAATAGGTCCGCTGGCAGAGGGCCAGTCTTGGCCCCACCAGCCCTAATACAGGTTACAATGCGCCTGCGACCATTTGACGTCACACCCTCGTTTTGGCTACCCAAAGCTAAGCAATGTAGATTTGCTGATTGGGAAAATCCCACTGCCTAGGGACTCAACCTTGAGTTGTAATCAAATCAGGGGCGTAGCTACCGCCGTATCAGCCGTATTAATAATACGGAGCCCCCAGAGCCGGACTTTTTAGGATTTTGATTTAAATATAAAGGGTCTAATGACCTCTTCTCATCCCTAATGATAGAATGACCTATTTTAGATGGGACCCCAACAAATTTGAGTAGGGCCCGTCTAAGTTAGGCTACACCATTGAATCAAATGATCGGAAAAGATAATCTGAACCTGAATACCTGATAGGTCCCTTTAATTGCTATCCCATTTTTCAGAAGATGTCCTTTAACTGTGATTTAAGTCATTTGAAGGATTAATAAAACCTTGCAGTCATAGATCTCCCGCTTTTTTCCTCACTCCCGTGCTTATCCCATGCCTCATCAGTGCTTGACGTTTGTTCCCGTCTGCACTGATTGAGTTAAGTGACCTATAGTCAGACAACTTCAAGTCTTAATAATCAAAATCTATTTGTAACAGTCTTTTCAAGGCCCCGGTGATTGGTCTCGGCATTTGGCAACGATTTGCCAAATAACAGTCCGCAACTGTCACTTTTTGGTCGTTTTGGTGATGCACTAGATAGGTACTTACTCGCATTCATAATAGTAACTAGTTACTATTTATTTTCCTTTTCGATGTCTGAAATTTAGGTCAAATTCTCTAGCGAAACGATAACAGAACTTGAATGTAGAATGAAAAGATAGTGCCCAATTAAAGACAATTTTGCAAATGATCTATAAGTAACCCATATTAACCTTTTTTTTCGGGGAAAAATTGTATTAAATTGCATATCTACCCTGCGGGGACAGGGTAAGTAAGTTATGTGGGACTCCCCTCTCCTCACTAAAATAACCCCGGTACTCCGTCGATCGCCTTGGTGGGAAGAACTACGGGAATCCGGACAAAGCCTTCAACTACCACAGTGACTCATATTAATCTAGGGCAAGATAGCAATGTTACCGTACTTCTTGGAATGGGAATCTATGGCTGACGCTTATTGTTCCATCAACCCTTACTAAGAAATACTTCAATCTTCTCACACATCTACGACTCGATTACGAGCTTATTTCGGCCGATTGTTTGGTCAGGCTGTTAATCAGTATGAATATGTATGAAAGTGCGTACATTACAACGATTTGGTATCGGCCGATTCCTCATACAAATTAGACGCCAACGAAGCTATCTATCTGCCGATGAAAATTCTATACAGTCTGCGGGGGCTCTTAGAGTAAAAAGAACTATCGCCTATGAAAAGTCTGTACTATGACCCTTAGACTAAAAATAAGCTGACAATAGTGACTGAGTTTCTTGCGCTGCTTCTTCTCAGCATTGGCCCATTTATTGTCCCGAAGCAGTGGTAAGGTTCATACTCGGACGTGTAAAAGTGCTTTTTAAAAGCCTACTTGCAAAAATAAAATGGGTTTTTGAGTTTTATTGAATTCTCTCTTAAAGTTCTTCTTTTCTCTAGATCGGTCTACTCCGAGATGGTCAACTCCTGGCCGAAGATTCCCCCGAGGAACTACTCCGGAAATTCGACTGCGACACGCTTGAAGACGCCTTCTTAAAGCTGGCCCTTCGCCAACATGAAATGCCTAGAAGAAGGCCCAGTAAGTATTTTGCAAGGAAATCTAATAAATGACTAAAAATGTCAGTTTGAAATCGCACTATAACGCCCGTATTCACAAACATTCTATGAGGTCTCACAGTGCGCGTGGACGCACAGGGTGACACACGAAACACGAACCAATCACAGAGCTTCGCGCTCATTCGTTTGATTTGCTGCTTCATTTAAGCAAGCATTGTTTGTGAATACGGGCGTTAGTCTCCACTATAGGAGCAAGCTCCTCTCTTTACTAGAGAAAAAGAAAGATTCCCCACACAGTTAAAAGGGTTGGGAAACCCTTATTTTTATTTTATTTCCCCCTTAAGTCACACTTAGGCTGAGTTACGCCATTTTACTTTAACTTTAACAAACGTCAAAAATCCGTCAAACTCCATACAAAAAACCCCGGTTATTGTTATAGTTACGGTTAAAGTTAGGTGGTGCAACTCATCCTTAATCTCCGTGGATTTCGTAAGAAGTGATGGCAATTCTCAGCTTCTGTCTGAAGAAGAAAGAAAAGACATAAGAAAACTACTTCAGTAAAAAGTTTTTGAATGGAAATCTAGATAGTTGATAATTACCGAATTATGTATGACCTAAAAACAAACCGTTTGAAATCGCACTATAAATCTAAAGGAGAGTTAGGTACTCCAGAACATAATGGACCAATTGAACAACCACGAGCTTTCTTTCGTACAATCTCTAAGACCTACTTTCCTAAATGGACTCATATTCTTCGCTATACCAAAGTTATCTTCCGCAGCCCTCACAGCGTCTCCCGACGTCATCCCGGACGGGATTCCCAGCGTCGTGGACAGTCGGTACGAGTCGCGGGAAGACTTTAACGTGGTCACCAGCAGTACCGATGTAAGTATACTACTTTTTAACCTACTTACTGTGAAAAATTATCCTCCGACTCCTAAGCGTTCAGGAGTTTTTCCTGCCATTATAATCATTGACATGAGATTCAAAGTACCTACCAATGCTAAAATTTCTCCAGAATGTTGAAACAAATTACTTATCTAATAGCGTATCAAATCGGTTCACGCCCGTATTCACAAACATTAGTATGAGGTCTCACAGTGCGAGTGGACGCACAGGGTGACACACGAACGCTGTGCGTTCGATTTTCTGCTTCACTGGCTTAAGCAAGCATCGTTTGTGATTACGGACGTCAATCAAACTGAGAATCTCACTTTTTTGGAAGTCGGTTATGAATAGAGACAACTCTCCCTGAGAGAAACTGACCCACGGGACGATTTGTCGAATCTAGATATTTAATATACTTAGAGCCGACAAATCGGCCAGTAGACCAGGCTTTAAAGCTTTCATTAAGTTCAATGTTGATGACATGTTTTATATTTTACAGGTGTTAACAACAAAAGAGAAACCAAAAGACTGTAGAGGCAGATCGAAGGCGAGGTATAAGGCAGTATTTATTAAGAGCATACAGCAGTTCTCCCGGCATCCAGGGTAAGTAGAAAGTTCTCAAAATCTTGTAAAAACACGTCTACATTGTTGCCTAAAAGAACGCGACTCTGTCTGTCCCAGAATTCTGGCTGCATTTAACAAAATGTTATTCTTTCCCAGAGGGCTGGTGTTCTCCATCCTGTTCCCCATCATCCAGATCGTGGCGTTCTTCTCTGCCATTGGACACAACCCTCGTGGGCTACATCTAGCCGTGGTGAATGAAGAAACCGCCTTTTCACCGTGTAAGTAACCTAACTAAACGTTCTATAAATATACCAATACTTAGTAGGTAACTTATTTAATAGCAAAAAAGGTACTGGCTTCCTACTCGGCGGCTGCAGACCCTCCCGCCTTTGACCAGCTGTGGACGTCATGAGGCTGAAATGTGACTTATCTAATCGTCATTATCACCAGATCATTTACGTCTCCTCCACTGCAGAAGCACGAGTCAGCACGACCCTCTCTTATTAATTTAAGCTAATGTAAGGCAGGCCTCCCACTAGGTGGACCGACGATCTGGTGAAGGTCGCGGAAGGTGCCTGAATGTGAGCGGTGCAGGACCGGTCTTTGTGAAAATCCTTGGGGGAGGCCTTTGTCCAGCAGTGGACGTCTTTCGGCTGAAACGAACGAAACGAATGTAAGCCAAATCCTTGTCCAACACTTGACCGAGACGGATTATTTCACCCTCTTTCAAGTCTTTCTTACGTTATCCAAGGGAAGAGAGAGGGCAATTTGTTACGGCACAGCACGGGCATTCACCAGGTACCTGATCTGATCTTCTATTATTGTTTATATTTTTATTTACAGATGGTCACGATATATGCAGAAATAGCAGCTTACGGCCAATAGTCAGGATAGAGGAAGAAGACACGTGCGAACAGTACATGCTCAGTTGTTGGTTCTTAGAAGAAATGGAGAAGAAAGAATTGTATCAAGTAAGTACCTGATACCGCACACTGCAGTCAATTGACACACTTTTAGCTGCCACAGATTTCAAAACCTACCTACTTACCTACTAAAAATCGAATACTATGGCTCTTTTAAATCAGACATTTTGAGCCACACGTGAGTCGTCCGTTTCCAGGACCCCACACGGAGAATTTTGTAATAAGAGCTGGTTCAGGTAACGCGTTTTTACTTGCGGGAGCGGCAAAACGCGCGTGTGGACAGAATGTATGAATCTCTAGTACCTACCTCACAAATTCACAATGTCGTGGTTAGAAACGCGCGAAAAAAACGCGCCATCTGGACCAGCTCTTAGTGTGCGGTCTTGAAAAAGTACGACTGATGTCCTGCTCAAAGCGCCTAATTTGAAAGAGCCCTAAGTATTGCAGCAAATTGATTACCAGCTAGATTTTCTGGGCTAGTTTTTTAAGAAGTCATGATTGGCTAATAGTGTTAGTCAAGTACCGAACAGCAACATGTTATTAAATAACCGTTCCCTAAACTTCGTTCCTAGATTCCATACGAAACCACAGAAGAGGCCAAAGCAGCGGTGGCCAGTGGCGCGCTGTACGGGGCGCTGTATTTCCACCGCAACTTCAGCGACGCGCTCGCGGCGCGCGTGCGCGAAGGGGAGGTCCCTGATGACGTGGTAGACGACAGCAGCATCAGCGTCTGGGTCGACGTCAGCAGTGAGTGTTCTATTCTTATAAAGTCGCTGAAGCGTCTATCTATGAGATCACGTCAGCTGCGTCAAAAAGTCTAGCACCGAATTCAGAAGTAAGTGTTATAAGATCGGCAACAGTCTAAGATAACCTCAGCAGTTTCTGGGCTGACATCAGCAGTGTCAGAGATGACGTTATCAGTGTCTGTGATGATGTTATCAGTGTCTGAGATGACGTTATCAGTGTCTGAGTTGACGTTAGCACTTAGCAGTAAGTGTCATAAGTCTGCTACAAGTCTCTAAGTTGACGTCAAAAGTATCTGGTTTATCGTCACCGGTAAGTGTCTAAAGCCTTCCATCAGTCTGTCTAATATGACGTCATCAGTATCTGCGTTGACGTCACAAAGCAGCGGTAGCCAGCGGCGCGCTATACGGAGCGCTGTATTTCCACCGCAACTTCAGCGACGCGCTCGCGGCGCGCGTGCGGGAAGGGGAAGTCCCTGATGACGTGGTGGACGACAGCAGCATCAGCGTCTGGGTCGACGTCAGCAGTAAGTGTTGTATTCTTATAAAGTCGCTAATGAATCGTCTATCTCTGAGATCACGTCAGCTGCGTCAAAAAGTCTGACGCTGAATTCAGCAGTATGTAAATGTCATAAGATCGGCAACAGTCTATCTAAGATAACCTCAGCAGTGTGTGTCTTGACGTCAGCAGTGTCTGGGCTGACATCAGCAGCGTCTGAGATGACGTTATCAGTGTCTGAGATGACGTTATCAGTATCTGAGATGACGTTACTAGTGTCTAAGATGACGTTATCAGTGTGTGAGTTGACGTTAGCAGTAAGTGTCATAAGTCTGCTATAAGTCTCTAAGTTGACGTCAAAAGTGTCTGGCTTATCGTCACCAGTAAGTGTCTAAAGCCTTCCATCAGTTGTCCCTAAGATGACGTCATCAGTATCTGGGATGACGTCATCAAACTGTACTTCCACCGCAACTTCAGCGACGCGCTCGCGGCGCGCGTGCGCGAAGGGGAAGTCCCTGATGACGTGGTAGATGACAGCAGCATTAGCGTCTGGGTCGACGTCAGCAGTAAGTATTATTTAAAAAAAATCAAGAAATTCCAAAAAGTCTTGAGCTAGAGCTAGCAGTAAGTCTCTCAAGTCTCTAAGATGACATCAAAAGTGTCTGGCTTATCGCCACCAGTAAGTGTCAAAAGCCTTCCATTAGTCTGTCTAAGATAGCGTCTGGGTCGACGTCAGCAGAAAGTATTCTATTAAAAAATTCTATAAATTCTGCCACCAGTCGGTCTGAGATGACGTCAAAGAGAGCAGTGTCAAAAAGTCTACGACCAGAAAACCAGTCTGTGATGGCATGCAGTGTCATAAAGCTTGCCACTAGTGTCAGAATCTGAGATGGCTTCAGCAGTAAGTGTCATAGAGTCTGCACCAATCTGTCTTTCATCAGCAATGTCTAGGTTGTCGACAGCAGTGTCTGAGCTAGCAGTGTCTTAACTCTTAAGTCTTCCACAAGTATCTAAGATGACGTCAGCAGTATCTGGAATGGCGTCATCAAAGCTGTATTTCCACCGCAACTTCAGCGACGCGCTCGCGGCGCGCGTGCGTGAAGGGGAAGTCCCTGATGACGTGGTGGACGACAGCAGCATTAGCGTCTGGGTCGACGTCAGCAGTAAGTGATACCCTCATAAAGTCAGCTACAAGTCTACTTAAGATGACGTCAGCAGTGTTTGAGCTGACCTCAGCAGTGTCTAGGTTGTCGTAGCTGTGTCTGTGCTAGCAGTAAGTAAGTCTCTCAAATCTACTCTAAGATGACGTCATCAGTATCTGGGATGACGTCATCAAAGCTGTACTTCCAGTACTTCCACCGCAACTTCAGCGACGCGCTCGCGGCGCGCGTGCGCGAAGGGGAAGTCCCTGATGACGTGGTAGTCGTGGGTCGACGTCAGCAGTAAGTATTCTTTAAAAAAAAATCTAGAAATTCTGCCACCAGTCTGTCTGAGATGACGTCAAAGAGTGCAGTGTCATAAAGTCTACGGCCAGAAAATCAAAACCAGTCTGTGATGACATGCAGTGTCATAAAGCTTGCCATTAGTGTCAGAATCTGAGATGGCTTCAGCAGTAAGTGTCATAGAGTCTGCACCAATCTGTCATTCATCAGCAATGTCTAGGTTGTCGACAGCAGTGTCTGAGCTAGCAGTAAGTATCTTAACTCTTAAGTCTGCTACAAGTCTCTAAGATGACATCAAAAGTGTCTGGCTTATCGCCACCAGTAAGTGTCGAAAGCCTTCCATTAGTCTGCCTAAGATGACGTCATCAGTATCTGGGATGACGTCATCAAATCTGTATTTCCACCGCAACTTCAGCGACGCGCTCGCGGCGCGTCATCAGGGACTTCCCTGATGACGTGGTAGACGACAGCAGCATTAGCGTCTGGGTCGACGTCAGCAGTAAGTTATACCCTCATAAAGTCACCTACAATTTAAGTCTACTTAGGATGACGTTAGCAGTGTTTGAGCTGACCTCAGCAGTGTCTAGGTTGTCGTAGCTGTGTCTGAGCTAGCAGTAGGTCTCTCAAATCTGCTCTAAGTGACGTCAAAAGTGTCTGGCTTATCACCACTGTTAGTGTCTAAAGCCTTCCATCAGTCTGCCTAAGATGACGTCATCAGTATCTGGGATGACGTCATCAAAGCTAGCGGCGCGCTGTACAGAGCGCTGTATTTCCACCGCAACTAGGTTGAGTTGGAGTTTTGGTATCTAAGTACCTAATAATGCCTTCAGAAAAAAAACTAAAAATTGTAACTATTTATTTCCAGATCACCAAATAACCAACTTCATAAAGAGTCAGCTGCACAAAACGTACAGCAGTTTCACGAAGCGAACGATGCGGGCTTGCGGAAGGAACGAAGACTTGGCTCAGGTTAGCAATACTGTAAAATTCTAAGCTTGTTATTATAGGCAATTCACTGTGCAATATTCACTTATTTATTTATTACTTAGGACATATCTATTTTACATAAGTAATACTACATTATTTCTATCCATTATATTTATCTATGTAAAGTTTCAGATTACTTACAACCTGAATTCACATTGTACATACGAAAAAGGTAACACGTCATTATATAAAATACATACATTAAATTGTTATTTTCAGCAATCAACATTCATGTATTTATGTTCAACATAAAACTTATTGACTGTAGGTATCTAATTAACCTAAGTATTTAAAATTATTAAACACATGCACTTTTCATAGTTTATTCTTTGTTCTTAAACTGTTGCTGTTTTTATTGTTTATTGGAGCCACCGATTTAACTGAAGTATTAATAACTTCATTAGCAACTTTGGTATTATAAATTAAATTATGTATGTTGTTTATTTTTTCGAGTCTTATTTATTGGTTAATGTCCTTGTCATTAGATATTGAATACTATGTGGGAGTATCTTCCAATTTTTCCAAAGTAAGAATTCAGGTCAAACGCCTTCTCCATTTTGGTCATTCTTAAGGAAATTCTAATGAACGGCATAGACGACTCAAAAAGACGCGTAGACGTATAGAAACAGTAAGTATCATAAGTCACCTCTCATCGCAGAGGTGGTAATATTTGAAAAAAATTTTGGGACATGTAAAAGTGCTCTTCAAAAACTTACTGAGTCCTGAGAGTCGTTTTTTCTAAAACAACATCACGTTTAAAGTTATAAAACTGATGCAATATGCAATGGATCATTTCAGATGCCGGTCCGCTTCCAAGACCCGGTGTACGGCAAGATGGACACTCAAATGGTGTGGTTCATGGCTCCGGGGATCATGATCACGTGAGTGTCGTTTTTTTGTTATAAAGCAAATAGGTGCAGCAGCAGTTCCAAAGTAAGCTGTCTTTCTTTACAATTAATAGTTTTATAAATACTTCCCTTGCAATTGCTTCAATTTGCCGTAAACGAGTTCTCGCATAGAGCCCACTTTGAAGGACGCCTTCCTGTATGATGGACCGATGACCTCAAGAATATTTTTAATACAGCCACTGCCAGCTGCGGCATAGAGTACGATGCACTGTAAGTGCAACAAATGACTATGATGTAGGGGTTCCAATCTCGGTATACCGAGACTCACCAAACGCTCACTGTGGCATTAGACGTGCGGGGTCCGCGGGTTTTGGCGGGAGTAAAAAAGAAGGCTCCATGGGTTTCCCGCATCAATGAAAATTATTTCTCCCGCGGATACCAAGATCCCAAAAAGGCATGCGGGATTAGAAGCCCTAATGTTTAAGGCTGGGTTGCACCATCTTACTTTAACTTAAAAATCTGTCAGTCCATACAAAAAACACCAGTTAACGTCATAGTTACAGGTAAGTAGGTGGTGCAACTCAGCCTAAGAGTTTTCCGTGATTAGGTATCGAAGAGAGTTGCCCTCTCTTGACTCTCGCGGATTCTGGTTATTTAATATGTCAAAGCTAAAAGTTATGTGTTATGTGGTGGTGTAGGTTAAATAAATTATATTTTGTGCAGCATAATCTTCTTCCTACCCGCGGTGGTGACGTCGACGCTGCTGATCGGCGATCGGCTGGAGGGCGTGTGGGAGCGCAGCGCGGTCGCCGGAGTCAAGCCTAAGGAGATGCTGAACGTGCATATAGCGCTGCAAGCCGCCATCATTGTGCTGCAGGTGCGTGTAATAACACAATCTCATACAAATTATTTACATTAACGATACGAATACTTTTTACCCAAGTTACTTATTCGTGCTTAGCCTACAGGCTGCGGAACTATTCCCACCTCCCGTTCCCGCCGATGTACTAGGGCACTATTTAAGTTGTGAGCCTCGACAACATAACGTGTTGTTAGACGACATCTGATACTTTTAATGAAAAGTTTGTCATTTTTGACTACAACCTTATTCAAAACTTTTTATCATTTGAGCACGTTTTGTATTATTAACATTGAATTGAAAATTATCTTGACTACAAAAACATGGAATTGATTTGCGGAAATTTTCGCGCGAAGATTTATTATGACTTTCGACGTGGTTAATCAATACAAAACTGAAGCGGTCAGATAATTTCACTTTTGGTGATAAAGATCTGTCCTTTACCATTGTAAGACGCTAGTTTAAGAAGTATAATATTGTATGTCATTGGCTCACCAGTGAACTTTGCGAAAGTCATCCAAAATGACTAATAATGGCGGAAAACATTGATGTTGTAAGAAAAATGGAAGAGAAAACTCGTCATGTGATATATCGTAGGATTGAAATAATCCTAGGCATTAATTCCACTAGAAGTAATAAAATATTGTATGACTATATTATGGTTAATACGTTTTTTTCTCGCTGGATGTCACAAAATTTTTCAAACGCTCAATAGGACGCTTGTGTCGTTTAGTCCTTGGAAATGTTTGATAAATATGTTTAAAAAGCTTTAAAAGCCGTTTTTAAAATTGTGACAGTTGACGAATTAAGGATCTATGCATAATGATCCTGAAAATAAACAGCTATCGACTATGGAGGTGTTTTAAGATGAACCAATTCCAACAAAAGTCCCATGCGCTCGGAACACTTTGAAACTTACGGTCGCCTATTTTTCCGAAATATCCGATTATATGACAGAAACGTCACTAGAGAAATTTAGAATTCCTAAAAGGTGGCTGTTTACTATTAAGAATTAACCATTCTTAATAGTAAACAGCCACCTTTTTCCAAAAGTCTTCAGTTTAATAAGGAAAACTGGCCAGCATAGTCGAATCGCCATTCGTGACGAAAATGTGAGCTTTTACACGTCTCGTCAAACAACTGACTATTTGAACACTCAAAATATGAAATAAACGGGTCCAACGCTACAAAATTCTTGCTTGGAATCTAAACACTTATTTTGGTACCCATTATATTAAAATTAAATGCGTGAACAGTGATTTATTTAGCCAGAAGCAACTGTCGGTGCGGTCAAAAACCATGCTTTAGAGGTGCCTCAAGCTGAGTGGAAAAAATGCTATGAAAAGTGTTTCGGACACATTAAAAAGTACATAAATCATGAAAGACAATACCAATAAACGCAATCAATACCATTTTAATAATATACTACTTTGTTTTCATAGTTAGGCTCACAACTTAAATAGTGTCCCACGTATTTTACGAAAAGCTTCATCAGAAGGGTCAATAAAAGTCACCCAAAGAGTGATGGAACGTGCTGTGCCCGGAGTTTCCCCTTAATAGAATCAGAAGTATCATTGGGCAGACCACATTAGCTCTTAGAATCTAAGAGCTAAATTAGAATCTAAGACTTAGATGGTCGTCGAGGCAGAAACTTTCTCGAGTGGCGACCACAGATTGGAAGAAGAGTCAATTTGAAGAGAATCAACCCAATCAGTGGACCAACGATCTGGTGAAGTCGTGGAAACGTAAATGTTCGACCATTTCATTTCCTTTACAAATGTAATTGCTAGGGATTGTCTGAACTGAAAAATGCGAAATATCAATTTAACATAATTTGAGGCCCTGTAATGTAATACAAATTTTGATGAATTAACAGCTTTTTATCTTACGATAATGGTCCTTCCAGACGGCAGAGATGATGGCTCTCTCATTCCTCGGCTACGGCATGCCTTCCGAGGGTTCGCTGATAACGTGCGGCCTGCTGCTGTTCCTGCAAGGACTCTGCGGGATGTGCTATGGATTCCTGCTGTCAATCTACTGCTCCAGCTATACCATGTCCTTCTTCGTGGCTACTGGAAGCTTCTACCCCATGATTCTTTTGTGCGGTGAGTGGTCTATGTATGGTTTTTTTTTATTAGGTCTTTGGTTGACCTTAAAGAGGCCCAAGTCAACAATGACGACCCAGGACCGACGCATGATACGGAGGGCCGACGTCAAATATAATGGGAATGAACCAGGCAAAGAAGGTCATTAGTTGACGTAAAATTCTACCAATCCCAACTAATATTATAAATGCGAAAGTAACTCTGTCTGTCTGTCTGTCTGTTACGCTTTCCCGCTTAAACCTCGCAACCGATTTTGATGAAATTTGGCATAGAGATAGTTTGAGTCCCGGGAAAGAACATAGGATAGTTTTTATCCCGGTTTTTGAAACAGGGACGCGCGCGATAAAGTTTTTCTGTGACAGACAAAATTCCACGCGGGCGAAGCCGCGGGCGGAAAGCTAGTAACATCATAATTAGAAGACATTTGAAACGAAGGAAACCCTCCTCAAAACTTTTACAGTTTCAAGAGTTTCAACCAGTAATTTCCCATTTTAGGGAGACCTAAATCTACAATAATAATAAAGAGGAAAGATTTGATTATAAATGTTTGTTATTGAATAGGCTTCGAAACTATGCTGAACCGATTTAAAAAAATGTTTTACCATTATAACATAATTTCTGATGAACATAGGCGGTACAAAGTTAGTTCACTGGGTTAGCTATCCTCAGGGTTCTGGATTAGTCCTTATATTTTGTAGGTATTCTTATATTCTTCTTGATTCTACTCTTACTCTTCCATTCGCAGGAATCCTCTGGCCTCTAGAGGGCATGTCAACCGGCCTCCGGATCATCGCTCTCATGCTGCCCTTCACGATTCCCTCCAAGTCCCTCCGCGATATTATGGAGCGAGGGTCCTCTTTCTTAGAGCCGTCGGTCTACCAAGGATTCCTGGTGACCCTGGTCTGGATCGCGGTCACTTTAGGCCTCTGTTTCTTGAGGCTAAAGTTGAAAAAGACGTAGGAATTTTTTGGGAACAGTTGAGTTGCGCCAACATTGTGCGTTGATGATTCCAGCAAAACTTTTGTATTACTTGTGGGTGTGCACATAATACAAACACATTTGTGAGCAAATCGATTTCATGCGGTAAGAAATTATTGCGAGAAAAATCTCCATAACTATCGACACAACATAAAATTGGCTCGACAACACATATGTGTCTGGGTGTGACAGACACGCGGCAAAAATCTTGGCCAGAACTTAAGCATAGACTTGGAACTTGAGTTCTACCAAGACCTAAAGAAAACGTGGTGTTTCAATTTTAATGGACAACTGAAAAAGGGTCATTAGTAGAGTTCTCCGTCCACCGTAATAAATATCTGCTGGTGATACGATTGAATCGTGAGGACTTAAGTCTCTCTGGGTAGTTTAATATTTCATGCCTTAAAACTAAGTAGGATATTGCAATATGGGTATTAAACAGTTGTATTTACGTATAAGTTAGTCGATCTTGCTACTGCAATTAAGACTTCAGCTATTCAAACAATTTGATTAAAATTAGAGATTAATTAATTAGATAGAAACTTTTAATTGTAAATAAGGCCAAAACATACAATGTTTTATTTGAATTTAAAGGAAATGTGAATCTTTTTAGAAAAATTAAAGATAAAGAAAAGATGTGAAACTGTATTGACAGTATATTACTGCCGGTACATAAAATATGAATTCACATAAAACTATGTTTTTAAGCTATTTTATAAAATTATGTTCGTGGCCAATTTTTTGAGAAATATACCGATGACGTTATGTGACTTCATATTTTACTCTTTATAAATTAAAATAAGATTCGCTTAATGTAGTGGTGGATTTTCATACCATTGTATTTTAAATAAATAAATAACCAAACTGTAAACTACATATTGCCGTAATATAAGTTTCGTGATAACAAACTATGTGATTTGTGGGTATTTATAAATAAAACGTTTTTCTATAATTTTCGTTTGTTTTTATGTTATTTAGTAGCCCAATATATTGTATTTTAGGCACAAAATGACGTGTTACAAATCCTTCCCCACATGTCAAAAGCTTCAAGAGAACTATAGAGAATAATATTCTAATTAAATAAATGTTTATTAACTGTCTGTAAAAACTTTCAGAAATGCAACTTCAACTATTGCTGATCATAAATTCTCAAAAGGTGAACACAAATAAAACATCAAAGTTCAGATATAAAAATTTATATTATAGGAAATATTTTGGATTCAACAACAACTCTGATCCTCGCGGCAAGCGCCCGCGCCCGCATAGCGCAATGGCACGACAACAATCATTACAACAATTTATTCGATACACCATTTTGTACAACGTTCCTTTGGAGGCAGCACAGACATCGCAACTAGCGTCGCACGTGGTAAGTAATAGAACTAACTTCACAACTAGCGCCACATGTGGTAAGTAATGGAACTAACTTTTCTAGTCCCCTCTCGCTCGCATGTGTATAGAATGAGCGAGACAGGATCAGAAAAGCGGCCATTTTTTGTCCCAAAAAAGTCACTGGTTTAGGATTAGTCTTTATTTTTGGATTTACTGGCACAAAGTGGAAACCTTCAAACGTTTCTATTCGCTATGAAATAAGTGTCAGGGTCTATTTGCCTCTCACTGGCACGCAATCACAAATAACATTGTGCAAGCGAGATGTAAATAANGTAAATAGTCCTTGAAAAGCATATTCCAACTCTACAAAAACATTCGTAGGATTAGCGAAATCACGATGTCTGAACGCACCCCCAATTAAATTTTGACTGGCAAATTATAATTCAATACTTATTTAGATAAACGGTACGGCAAACCAAATTACATTATTTACATAACCAACATGTAAAATGTTAATTTCAACATCGCAAAACATTCGGATTTGCAGTACCGAAGATCTGGTTCTGATTTTACAGCTTATCCAAAATATTCGTTACTTTTAAATACATGCCAATAAAAAATCCAACCGTCAAAATATACCTACAAAATACGTAAGTATACTATAGAATGATCACACGCAATCACAAAGTTGCAGCCTAAATCTAACTTTTCCAATGCATGTAAGCAGTATATTGTGTTAAATTTCCTCTGTTCTTTACAATGGAGCCCGTATATTACAGGACTTTTCGGATAAAAAGATTACTTTGGTTTTGAATAAACGGCGCCGTTTGTAGCAGTTTTATTCCAGCAAACAATTATACGAAGCATTGTGTTGTCAAAAAGTGATCTTTTCAACCGAAAATGACATCTAGAAGGGACGCGGGCGCCGCTCGCACTATTCGTTGTCAACAACCATCCGCCAGAGGTCGTAACGATCTGTCGCGCGACCACATACAAATTTAGTCCGTAACACAAACACACCGCTTATTGCGACATATCACATTTCACAAGCAAACCTCCGTTGATCCCTCGTAGAGAAAAAAAAACTGATTTTTCTTGTATTCGCGTTCACGGTTTTTGCCTAACTATAAACTAGACTTAAACTAATTCGCGCACGCATCGCCTGTCTCGCTCGCACACTCGCACACAACACGCTGTCTTTGCTTTTATACTACATCTCTATATATTTTTACAATGATATCTCGAGGGGACGTAGTCAATTCCTATGTTCACTAATATTGCTCGACAAGCAACTTTTATAATTAAAACCGTAGCTGCGAAGGCATTTAGTAATTATCACACATTGTTTATTCATTAACTTACATTAACACCCCAGCTCTGCATGGCGAAACTGAATCAGTCACTAACGCGAGGAATTGACCGGCCCCTTTACAAAAGAGAACTAAAACTTAACATATCCTATACAAAATGAATGGACATCGAAAATACGGAGTAAAAGGTTTCATTTGACGTAAACACAAACTATGGAAGTGCCAGTAGGCAGTCGGCGACGCGACGGATAAATACGTACAAAATACGGAGATTTTTCAACGCTCCCAACAAAACATTATACAAAAGAGAAAAAACAATTCATTACCTACATAGAATGACGAACATAATTTTTAATTATTAGCAAGCTTTACACAATTAAAGTACAAATATATATAATTCTGTACATTTAAGTTGTGACAAAATATTCTATATTTATATTGTTCAGGCCTCGCTTTCGTTCGCTTATATTTACATTTTTTTTTTTCATCAATTGTAACTTTAGTACTGGTTTGCAAGATTCCTTACTAGTAAAGTAACGAAATAAGATCACATAGAATTCATTCGTAAGTATTTCATGCCCAATAATATATCCCCGTTACATCTAACAGTCCTAACTGAACGAAAATCGAAGAGATTGGTTATTTAAAACAACAGTATCAACAATTCATTTATACTTCGACGATCGTCATTGAACGCCAATGCTTTCATCGATGTACAGTGTGCGATTAAAAACGTTCACAAATACTAAAAAATACATAATAATAAATAAAGTAAGAATAACAAATAACTAGTTAAGGCACGGGCCTGTGAAAAAAGCCAGCGTTGGGGTACGTACGTAAGCAGGCGACATTTCGGCCCGCATTTTGAAACTGGACTCAAAAATCTGCGCTCAAGACGCTTCTAACCTGTGATAGGTTTCAATAGATCAAGCTTAAATTGTGGTTTGAATTTGAGGAGTTTCAAAATACGAACTTGACCGCTGAGTGATCAAGGGAAACGTCGAGTTGTGAGATCAATATCGGTTCGTATATACAGCAATCGTGTTAGTATGTTACCTCCGTTTGAACTAAGAATTTGACGCAAAAGCACACGAAATACGAATTTAGGAACACTTTGGGAATATCGGAAGCGTTGGACCATCAAATCGATGTTTGTTAATAACTCTAAATCAGCTATATTTTTTTCTAGCACTTGAATTTGAAAATTAATTGAAGAAAACATACTACATCCCTGCACAGTATACGAACAGACCATCCCAGTGGCATTCATAAGACGTGTCTAAAAGGCGACAATATCAAATTCGACATTACTGGGCATTTGATATATCTCTATAGACCCTAACAGAGCTTAATACCAATTTTTAACAAAATACTCGCATTTGAAACATATAGCCGTGGGTGATTATTTAAAAACTACAATTAAACTGTGTATTAATGTACTATGTTTTGGTAAATATTTGACTCAAGTTTTAAATTAGGTGGGAATCTTTGCACAGATAATGGCTTGTCATATTGACAGATTCGCCAACGACACAGCTAAAGAAGAACAACTTAGAACCTCCTCCTTTTTTAAGTCGGTTAAAGGAATGTTTTGGGTAGCCATATGTTTCAAATACGAAGCGATTACAATGTTTTATACCATTTGATATTCCTAACTAATCTCATTTCACGTGTAAAGGTATTGTATCACCTTACAAAGGTGTTTTAAACAATAAATACTTAAATAACGCTTAGTACCTTAAGTGTGAAAGCGTATAAATTATGTCAGATTAGAATTAACGGACTTATGTTTCTAGCTAGCTAAGTAATGTTACGTCATATTGTATGAGACGCATTTCCTGTCGTGAACGTAACACCATCATTAAGATCAAGAACTATCAAGTCGACAAGGACTGTAAAAGCCTAACATTTTCAGTAAATCACGTAAAATCTATAGTCAGACCAAACTTACTGAAAATATCATTAGCACTTGTAACTTTTTAAGCCAATAATGGATATGCATTGGATCGCAACTTACGTACATAAATGGCGTTTGAAATGTAAGACTTCTCTCACGTCTTAAACGGATCGTCTACGCATCGACTCGGCAACGGATCGCCGTCGCCTCGCCTCTAATAGACAGCTTTGAATGGTAAAACATTGCGACATTTTAATTGTTTTTAACACGTTAATTTAAAACTATTTTATTAACGATTGTATTCACAAATGGAAGCAACGAAATCACTGGTACAGCTAGCCTATTATTTTATACCTACAGCCTATTAAATAATTCGTACAAAAATAAAATTTCGAGGCAAGAACTTTACAATTTCTCCCGAAATTACAATTACTTCAAACAATCCCATACAAGATGACATAGCATTTTATTAACAACAGCTTGACAGCTGTCAATAGAATGGGGTATTCTAAGTTACGGGGACTAGGTACTCTTTTAGAGAAATTTGTGCAAAACTGGGACAGTTTTAAAGGCAAAAACTGGTATAAATGCCTAAAACATTTATCGTTGGAATGCTTATTTTAAACATGGAAATACAAGAACATTTGGCGGTGAAGTTCGTATAAAAGCATGGTCAAAAAGTGTTTAAAAATGTCTTCTAAAAGGGACTCGAAAAGACGTCTGAAAGCAAGATGACATAAGAAATCGCGAAACAAATGACTATATTGACAGCTGTCATCGCCACAACTTGACAAGTATAACGCCTATAACGAGGACTTAATTCTGTGTACATAGCTATCCATGGTAAGCCTTTGTGATATTCTTGTAAGTAATACTGCACTTTATATTTATAATTTGTATACATAATAACAAGTATACATTTTTTTTCGCCAATTTCAGAATGGGTGCTTAGTGATTAAAAATACAATTGACCAATACACTGCAAAGCCATCCGATGCACTTTCATCCTTANTTCGTCTTCGATATTTTTTTTTATGCATAACAAGGCAGGTATTTGATCACAATCGCACCTGATGTTAAGTGGGATGCAGTCTAGGATATAAAAGCCACATTGCAATTATTTGTTCACGGTCCATCTTTGAAAGTATGAAATGAACGAGACTGTACTCTTGTCGGCTCTCTAGTCGATACTGCCGTCATCAACCGGAGCGTGTGAAAGCTCATTTGACGCCGGGTAGCCGGCGCCGGTTAGCCGGCAACCGGGACGTGTGAAAAGGGCCTTATTGTTATAGCGCTAAGAGCAGCGGACGGCGTATGCATAACTTTATTTTCAGACTATATTGTCAAAATAGTTCTAAATGCGGTTGTATGTACAATTTCTTTCATTGTGATTATATTTTTCAACCAGTGTTAAGTCCGTGAGAGATCTAAAGGCCTGCGCCCATACAACCTTGAATTAAGTCGATAATTATAACTAAGACATCGCAAATAAGACGCAAGTTTTGATCGACAAATAGAGTACGTAATTTATCAGTTTCAAAATTAAAATTAATAGCCGTCCGCTGCGTAAGCGGGCGCAACGTGTAACTTATATTTTTGTATGTAAACCGCAGCTTTTTGACGTCTGTCAAAAGTTTTTAACGCAACAGGTGACGTCCTAAGGCTGAAGCTTCGCGGTTCCTCATAATCAGTGACAGTATCAATTACATAGTGAGGCTTATGTACGGATGTGAACCTCCCGTGAAATATAACTAAGCCAGAGATCTATTGCTAGGAACTCGCGAGATTTTCAGCTCAAATAGTGCAATATACGAGNGTGCAATATAGCTTATTATGAATATCTGATACAATATTGAATATAGTACAGATTTTACACCACGCGTCCAATTTCTCGTATTTTCAAACTACTTAATTGGACACGCCTATCTGCCAAAATACCCATTATTGTATTAGAAAAACTTTAGTTAGAATACTTCGTGAGTTCTCAGCATTACTTTTCTGCTAGTTTTATTCACGGTCAGAAAGTGGGTCTGATTCCGTGCCACCAAATTAATTATCTCTTTCTTAACTTATCGATTGAAAAGAGACATAATTTAAAGCCAAGTATTCCAAGAACTACCCTCAAAACCAATTTAGACTTAGAATTAAACCAATATGGCATAAACAGTCTTGAGGCGAGTTTTCGAGTATAGTTCTGAATAACTTGGCTCAAGAATTGAAAACTATCTAACTACTTTATTCCATGGCAATCTGAGAGGTTCGAATGGATACAAATCAGGTTATTGCTGTCTCTTTTCATTCGCCAAGCAATGAAAGAGATACACCGAGTTTAACATTAATATGCACAATTTTTCTACTCGGGATGCGTTTGAGACGCGGAAGTAAATATCAACATTGTCAAATATACTATAACCGTATGGTAACACTTTATGACGTAGTGGTAAATAATTCTAATACATTTTGACCCTTATTGTCTTCAGTAGTAAGCAATTCGCTGTCTGTTTATAATTTTAGCTTCACAATGCATTTAAAGACACATAACTGTGGTTCCAATTGAATTTTAAGCTGATTTTTGAGGCACACGATCAAACATTTGCTTCCGCGCCTCACTCGAGTCTATAACCAAAATTAAGGCCCTATCACACCAGCGATCGTCGGGCGTGCGTTTCTCGAGCGTATTTATCAGAATATACAATTTCGTTCAGCTTTTATTATGATAAAACGAAATAAAATTTAAGTCTTGATATCGTCCCTGATTAAGTGTCAAAGTGAATTTGACCATTAAAACAGTTGTTTTGAAAACTTATCCTTTCGACTGTTAGTTTTAGCTGTAACTGATTCCAATTGATGCCAGTAACGAAACATCAAGGTATACATATTGTAGCATCGTAAATCACAGATTTTTAGAAAATAAATCGTAAGTGTAGCATCTTAGAGCTTCAAATTAGGCGTTTTGAGACGAACGTTTGTCGTCCGTTTGCAGGATCGCTCACTAAAAATTGTATTACAACTGCGTTGGAATAAAAATGATAGTCAGTTACCAACAGAGAAGTCTTGCAAACGGATGACAACCGTCCGTCTCAAAACGTCTAATCTGAAGGAGCCTTTATTATTATAGATCGAGTCATCCACAAAGACGCGCCCCACCATTCTTCCGCTAATGTTTGAGTGTTATCGGTACACGCTAAATCATCCATGAGTGCACACGCATGACGCACACTACAATAATGACGCTCGGATTGCTCGGATCAAACTCCCCGCGCTTCTATCGACCAAAAATTGGCGGGGCGCGTCATCGTGGATGAAACGATTGCATCAAATTCACATAATTAAACACTGTAGCATCTTACATATTTGTCACCGTAAAATTGTGAATTCCGTCAGATTATAATCCGACGTAGTTAAATTACAATCTAACCGAACCTAATCCACTGTTAGTTTACAATCTAACGCGTTATATTATAAACTGACAGAGTTCAAAATTTCACGTTGACATATTTACCGCTCGAGAAACGTGATCCCCGCCAGTATGGCTGAGCAAAGGCAGTGATCAGACGGCGTTCCCTGCTAGAACTTGTCCTGAAATATGAAGAGGTTGTTGGTGGCTGCCACCGCGATGATACTTTCGTGAGGGTGCCACGCTGTGTGCAGGATCTTTTTGTTGAAGTCCAAACAGTCCACGCTTATTTCGTCCTGCGGAGATAGACTTTTGTTAGTTGTGGTGTTAGATTTTAATTGCAAACGGTGTAAAACGTCAATGGGACTAGTGATTTTTATGATCTGATAGATGGGAAAATTAATCAGGACTTCTTTTTATCAGCGCAAATGGCCTTCTCCAAGTATTTGCACAAGGACTTGGCCCGTATTGCCTGTATCCAGATGCTTTTTGCTGTTAACTAAAGAATAAGTTTGGCACATTGACAGTTTTAGTATGGAAAATATGTCAAAATGACAAGTTTATAAAGTTATCCGACGATGGTAAACTCAGCCCTAAGGGGTTTAGTGTATACTGACGCAACAACGGGGTGAGGGGCTTGCGTTGAGCCAGTGCCAAGACGACACCAGTGTGGGGGTCACTTAAAAAGCTATGACACCCGTCACAAACGGTGCTTGCTTAAGTGAAGCAGCAAATCGAACGCACAGCCTTGAATAGAGCTCTGTGATTGGGTCATGTGTCACCCTGTGCGTCCACGTGCACTGTGATACCTCATAGAAATGTTTGAGGGATGTTATGGATATCCGTAACCGTAACTTTCGGATATCCTAAATAAAAAAATATCCGAAACCGTTACCGTAACCGGTTCAAAGGTTTCGGATAGTTTCGGATATAGGCAGTTTATCGCATTAATGTAAAGGCATAACAGCCTGATGTACCTTTATAATGCCATCTAGTATCAATTTTCATTTTTTTTAATACTTTTTATTCGATGTAAAGTGTGTGGCCATTAATGAACCGTATTAGACAATATGCCAAGGCCTATGTCCAAGGACAAACTGGAGATGAGTGCAACTAAATTGTAAAATGAAATGTTAATGTTAAAAAATACCTTGTAATTCAGTAATAAAGGCTTATATTATTATTATTATTATTATATTATATTAGACAATATTGCAAATTGCATTATGAAGCACAGAGATATCCGTAAACGTAACCGAAACCAGTATAATATTGTTCCTATATCCGTAACCGTATCCATAACCGAAACTACATATCCATAACATCCCTAGTTTGAGGGCGTCAGTTAGTGCGTTACCTTCTTCCTCTTGGCCGCGGCGGATTAACGGCGCGCGCGCCACTTTTGTTTTGGACAAATGACGCAACAGCGACGAACGCTAATGTGTGGGTCACAAAGCTGTAAGTTGGTTAGTTACCTTCTTCCTCTTGGCGGTGGCGGCGACGCGGCGCGCGCGCAGCGGTTGCCGAGGCCGCGCGGCCGCGTCGCGCGCCGCCTCCAACGTCAGCTCGCCGCGCCGTCCGCCGCCCGCGCCGCGTTCAAACACCCTGCAACAAACAATGTCGTATTATACATTATCATAAATTAAGACACGACTTCTTATTACCCTCTCGACCAGTAAAAAAGACACTATTTCATTCGGGCCATGAAGAATCATGATGAAGGACAATGATGAACGACACTTTAACCCTTTAACTGGTATAGAGAAAAATATTTTTCAACATATTTTATTATTTTTGTGGTGGCAACAATTCTGCCACTACCAGATAAAGGTTTAACATTCCGACCGCGAATCAAGCCTATGTTCAAACCTCTGTATTTAATTTATTCAGGATATTAATAGAGATGAGACGTATTTACTAGAACAGATCCACACACCCATTTTACAGTACTAGGCGGCACCTATTCCAATTTTTTAAATACTTGATCCACCTAGTATTTTATAAATTACACGATTTCCGACCCTACCGTCAAAGTAATAGAGGTTATTATTGCGTAATCCGTAGTCGTGTATTACGCGCACCTAGTATTTCTCGCTAAGCTTATGTGCGAACGTAGAGATTCACTTCGCCTCTGTCTGACCAAACAAATTTGAGCGCGACGAAGCAAACGCACACAAAAGTAGTCAAACCATATTCATGTAAATAAAAAAAAATATGTAAAAAAAGGACAATGACCAAAAGTGGTCCAAATGTCCACCACCAATGAGACCTATATTGGCTTATAGTCCTTTAAATAGAGATTAACTTTCAGTATGGGACGAAAAAAAAATAAGCTGTCAGTAAAAAGTTATGACTGTTTAAAAATTGTAGTAGTTTACGCGCTAATCTCAGGAACTACTGGTCCGATTTGAAAAAATATTTTTGTTATGGATAGCCTATTTATCAAGGATGGTTTTAAGATAAATAACATCACCCTACAACCAATAGGGGCGGAGCAGTAAAGACAAATGTAAAAATGGGAAATATTATTCAAACAATTTTCACGCGTACAAAGTCGTAGGCACAGTTAGTATAATATTTAATAAAATTCATCTATAACCCCGCGCCACATGCGACATGACATAACATGCATAGATTAGTCCAAAATGTGCAATGAATAGAATGATATCAAGAACATTTTTCGGATGAAAAGGTAAAAAACAGACTTTTCATTCAGTCATAACTTTTTACTGACAGCATATTTTTGATTGCGGTTTGGTTATAATGAATCAGTATTTAGTAGACTATTTTACTACATAGGTCTCGTTAGTGGTGGACATTTGGACCACACTCCATACATTTTTGGTCATTGTCCTTTATGAAATTGATATCTTATAAATACGCCAACTTTTAAGTTGACAGTCCTAAGTCTGTTGAAGTATGAAGGGAGGAATTATTATTCAATTTCAAATTGCATTATTCATACTACGGATGTATCTTTTAAAAAAAAATTTATTTTAAGTCACATTACGTGGATTAGTCCGCACTAGTCGCGTCAAGTATGCTAAATTACTACGTACTAGGTGGAACAGGTATTTAGATCGAGTATTAATAAATACTAGGAATAGGTGCACCAAGTATCAAATTTACCTAGTATAACCCATCTCTAACACCCTGGAACAACACAATATTATAAGTACACCATCATCATCATCATCATCTCAGCCATAGGACCAGAGTAAATACAAATGAGTAGGTCATCTTCATAGAAACGCACCGAGCGCGGTTTGTATGTGAGCGCGCCAATATACGTATACGGCGCGCGCGCACACACTGACAAAATTCGACCACGACTGGCTCCCCGCTAATCGCCGCTAAATTTTGTCAGTGTGTGCGTGCGCGCCGCATACTTGTTGGCGCGCTCACATACAAACCGCGCCCGTGCGTTTCTATAGAGATGACCTACTCATTTGTATTTACTCTGACATAGGCCTCCCCCAATGCTTTCCATGTTGTCCGGTTGGTAGCGGCCTCCACTCCAGAACAGGCCGTCAATTCTGCGCACTAAGTGCCCTGCCCATTGCCACTTCAGCTTGCTATTATCTTATATTATCTTATAAAACTGTTATATTTTTATTAAATTACCTAAAGAAGCCGTTGTAGGAGCCGGTCATGAGCCGCTGGTCGTCGCCGCTCCAGCAGCACTCGAACTTGTCGAAGATGCAGTCGTTCTCGTACAGCGAGCACAGCTTCGACCGGAGGTACTCGTGTACCTGCAAACAAACAACCAGGGATGTTATAGATATCCGTAACCGTAACCGAAACTTTCGGATATCCGAAACCGTAACCGATTCAAAAGTTTCGGATGTAGGCAGTTTAAATTGTTTTTTATATAGCATTATATGTAAAGGCATAACAGCCAGATTTACCGATATAATGCCATCTAGTATCAATTTTTATTTTTTATATANTAAAGACACATAACTGTGGTTCCAATTGAATTTTAAGCTGATTTTTGAGGCACACGATCAAACATTTGCTTCCGCGCCTCACTCGAGTCTATAACCAATATTAAGGCCCTATCACACCAGCGATCATCGGGCGTGCGTTTCTCGAGCGTATTTATCAGAATATACAATTTGGGTTAGCTTTTATTGGGATAAAACTAAATAAAATTTAAGTCTTGATACTGTATTAACGTCCCTGATTAAATGTCAAAGTGAGTTTGACCATTGTTTTGAAAACTTATCTTTCCGACTGTTAATTTTAGCTGTAACTGATTCCAATTTGCAATTGATGCGAATGACGAGACATCAAGGTATATTGTAGCATCGTAAATCACAGATTTTAAGAAAATAAATCGTAAGTGTAGCATCTTAGAGCTTCAAATTAGGCGTGAGACGAACGTTTGTCGTCCGTTTGCAGGACCGTTTGGAAATTGTATTACAACTGCATTGGAATACAAATGACAGTCAATTACCAGCAGAGAAGTCTTGCAAAAGGACGACAATCGTCCGTCTCAAAACGTCTAATCTGAAGGAGCCTTTATTATTATAGATCGAGTCATCTACAAAGACGCGCCCCACCATTCTTCCGCTAATGTTTGAGTGTTATCGGTACACGCTAAATCATCCATGAGTGCACACGCACTACAATTATGACGCTCGGATTGCTCGGATCAAACTCTCTCCCGCTTCTATCGACCAAAAATTGGTGGGGCGCGTCTTCGTGGATGAAGCGATATTTTGCATCAAATTCACATAATTAAACACTGTAGCATCTTACATATTTGTCACCGTAAAATTGTGAATTCCGTCAGATTATAATCCGACGTAGTTAAATTACAATCTAACCCTAACCTAATCCACTGTTAGTTTACAATCTAACGCGTTATATTATAAACTGACAGAGTTCAAAATTTCACGTTGACATATTTACCGCTCGAGAAACGTGATCCCCGCCAGTATGGCTGAGCAAAGGCAGTGATCAGACAGCGTTCCCTGCTAGAACTTGTCCTGGAATATGAAGAGGTTGTTGGTGGCTGCCACCGCGATGATACTTTCGTGAGGGTGCCACGCTGTGTGCAGGATCTTTTTGTTGAAGTCCAAACAGTCCACGCTTATTTCGTCCTATGGAGAAAGTTTCTGTTAGAATCTCAAAGTTGATAAACATGTATCTTTAGTAACACTAGAATGAAGACTTCCTTGCAATTGTTTTTGTGCTCATTAGTTGATGAAAGTGTAAAGGGTGTAAGCCGTTTGATGTAAACTCACACTCAAGCCTTGTCCAGTAGGCCTAAGATGCTCGCCGCGATAAGCGTTTATCACGCTGTTTTATCGATTTTGCCCATACATTTTGCCGTCGATAAAAGTTATCACGGCGCGCATCTTAGGCCTACTGGAGAGCGAATTCGCCGTATAGTAGCAGCCAATACAATGTGTCCATAAATCGCGTCATACATACGCTCGCGTTGAGACTCCTGGACAAGGCCTGAGGCTGATTTCAGACGTTTTAAGCGTTTGACCGGCGCCGGTCACACGCGCGCGCTTACAATGAGGATCATTTCGATTTTTAGCTGTGAATGCAGATTTATAGGGCTAAGAAATCCTTAATACACAGTGCAAAAATTTTTGTTCTACGACAAAAATTGACGAAGTTATGGCCAAATTACTAAAAAAGTTCACTGACCGCCCGGCGCGGGGACGATGACGTCATTATATCCGATCCGAACGCTGCCGGCGTACTGCGTGGATAGACAATATTTTTTTCTAGCCAAATTATCAGTTTTAGAGAAAAACTTGTAAAGACATTTATTCATCAGAATAAAGTAAGCTATCGATAGGTAATTTTTAAAAATAGAAATTGTAAAAATAACGCAAAAAATCCATACGCTCATACGATTCAATGGCACGCAGAGACGCGATTGGGGTCTCCGCNGCCTATGTTTATTACTTAATATCTTCGTAAGTAATGGTCCGATTTGGATAATTCAAAAAGATATATCTTTCTTATGTCTTAAAGATTAACGTAGATACTTTTATTGAATTTTCTACAACAGTACTGATCCTCATTACACTAGGTATAGTCTGGTCCGGGAGCACGTAGAATTTTGTCCAATGACCCCAAGCTACCCATCCTTATCGCTCGCGCGTAATTATATTGCTGTCGCGACTGTGCGACGGGCGCCCGCAGTAAGTGTGCGAGCGCGACAGCAACATAATTACACGCAAACGATAAGGATGGGTAGCTTGGGGTCATTGGAGAAAATTCTACGTGCTCCCGGACCAGACTATAGTATTTGCATTTCATAGACACGCCGTTCAGACAAGCGCGCACATCGCAAAGAAACGTGCGATAATGACTCGTTTCACAGCGGTTCGCCGGTCATGCGTGTGCTTATAAGACGTTTATTGAAACCAGCCAGCTGATTCACGTATTTTGACAGTCCAAGATCTCGCTGACGTTTAATCGTTGTCCCATTGAAAAACAGTTCTAAATCCGTATTCACAAGGGTCATTTTGATAGAACGATTACTCGATAGGATCGCAACTCAAGTGTTTTGTTGTCGTTGAAGTTTTGTTACGTGACTTATGCCCGTTTTCACCATCAATCCCTAATTTTTAAGTGATCCCTATGGTAACAGATAATATGAATTTTGTTTTCATAGGGGTCACTTAAAAATTAGGGATTGATGGTGAAAACGGGCATTAGGCCACAGATGGCAGTGCGTACCTTCTTCCTCTTGGCGGTGGCGGCGACGCGGCGCGCGCGCAGCGGTTGCCGGGGCCGCGCGGCCGCGTCGCGTGCCGCCTCCAGCGTCAGCTCGCCGCGCCGTCCGCCGCCCGCGCCGCGTTCAAACACCCTGCAACAACACAATATTATAAGTACACCATCATCATCATCATCTCAGCCATAGGACCAGAGTAAATACAAATGAGTATTATTATTATTGGTTTTGAGCCTTCATTTGCGCCAGCTCGACCAGGTTTGATCTATTGTGGCAGCCCTTGTGTTTAGAGTTCACTGCTTAGTCCCGTTGAGTCTATAAATTTCCAGATTCTTTGGAGCGTAATATCTGCTATCTCATCCGGGTGCATGATGTGTCGCCCGAGATGGATACTTCTTTTGCTCATAAGCGGGAAGCATGAGCAAAGAACATGCATGACCGTTTCTTCTTCTGTATGGCAGAATCTGCACAGAGTTTCTTCAGAGTAGATACAAATGAGTAGGTCATCTCTATAAAAACGCACGGGCGCGGTTTGTATGTGAGCGCACACACTGACAAAATTCGACCACGACTGGCTCCCCGCTAATCGCCGCTAAATTTTGTCAGTGTGTGCGTGCGCGCCGCATACGTGTTGGCGCGCTCACATACAAACCGCGCCCGTGCGTTTCTATAGAGATGACCCACTGATTTGTATTTATTCTGACATAGGCCTCCCCCAATGCTTTCCATGTTGTCCGGTTGGTAGCGGCCTCCACTCCAGAACAGGCCGTCAATTCTGCGCACTAAGTGCCCTGCCCATTGCCACTTCAGCTTGCCATTATGTTATATTATCTTATAAAAACTATTATTTTTTTAATAAATTACCTGAAGAAGCCGTTGTATGAGCCGGTCATGAGCCGCTGGTCGTCGCCGCTCCAGCAGCACTCGAACTTGTCGAAGATGCAGTCGTTCTCGTACAGCGAGCACAGCTTCGACCGGAGGTACTCGTGTACCTGCAAACAAATAACCAAGGATGTTATAGATATCCGTAACCGTAACTTTCGGATATCCGAAACCGTAACCGATTCAAAAGTTTCGGATGTAGGCAGTTTAAATTGTTTTTTATATAGCATTATATGTAAAGGCATAACAGCCAGATTTACCGATATAATGCCATCTAGTATCAATTTGTATTTTTTATATTCTTGTAAATTGTGCGGCCATGAATGAACCGTTTTGGATAACTATTGCAAATTGCATTCTAAAGCACAGATATCCATAACCGTAACCGAAACTTTAGGATATCCGAAATAAAAAAATATCCGTAGCCGAAACCGGTAATAATATTATTCCTCTATATCCGTAACTGTATCCATAACCGAAACTACATTATCCATAACATCCCTCCCTATACCGGAGCACACTGGTGTAGCGTGGTCATTATATGGTGTGGCTCGGAAAAATAAGAAAGATTATCTTATTAACTTATTTTTAGTAAGTAAGGGTAAGACTAATAAAGGTCATAAAGGTAATTACTAAAAAAAATATTTTTCATGTGTGGTGAGGTGTACCTCAAAAAAAATTCCTTTTCCTAGATATACCTTGAACACAAAAATCCTATCCTACCTAGCACACATTACATTTGAAACAGCATCCAAAACTCATATCCAACTGCAAGATAAGTTCAAGTCTGTGATTCTTGACTTGTATTTAAATTCAGACCGAGTCAAGTTGGCTCAACATGGTTTGCTAAGTTCGTAATCAAACGGTAATTTTACAAATTTTAATTGGAACGTAGATTTAATCATAAACTAAAAGTATTCTCTTAAAAATATTATGTGAAAAACATATACTCACTGGATATGTTTCTACTGGTTTTGTTTCCATTCTAAGATCCCATACTTTTAAACCTAAATAATCTCGTGACATCATATATCTGAAAACGAAAGAGAAAACACATCGTTAATGATAGAGCATAATTATAGATCAATTAATATGCAACAACTTGACATCGATGGAGCTTAGACCACGAGGCAAAGAGAGCTCATCAGACTATACACTTCGTTCCTAAATTGCTAATTTATTTACTATTATTGCTAAAGCCTGGTCTGTGAGCACGTAGAATTTTGTCCAATGACCCCAAGCTACCCATCCTTATCGCTCGCGCGTAATTATATTGCTGTCGCGACTGTGCGACGGGCGCCCGCAGTGTGTGCGAGCGCGACAGCAACATAATTACGGCGCATAATTAAGGATGGGTAGCTTGGGGTCATTGGACAAAATTCTACGTGCTCACAGACCAGACTATAGTCAATTCTATGGAGGAGGGAGCTCGTCTTACAACTCATATGACTCGATTTATTGACATTCGAACTAACACCATTTTGGTAGAGTACTAACGTCAGTTGAATATCACTGATGGATCAATGTAAGGGGGATCTGCAACGGATTTTATCGATGTCTTCGGGCTCCTCTACCAGCTCGGCGTGCCATAGCAATCTGGCCCTTATCGCCGCTGTATAGAGTGCACGCACCTGCCCTCATTACTGAGCTTGACATCGCTGATGATCTCAGAGAAAAAGGACTTCTCGACTAACATAGCTTGCCATTGCAAACTGACCCTTATCACCGCTGTATAAAGTGCACGCACTTGCCCTCGTTGCTGAGCTTGACGTCGCTGATGGAACTAATGATCTCTGAGAAGAAGGAGCGCGCGTGCGGGTCCTCAGGCTCTTCGAACAACTTGGCGTGTCTGTCGCACAGTGACCCCTAGCTACTCATCCTTATCGCTCGCGCGTAATTAGGTATATTGCTGTCGCGCTCGCACACTCACTGCGGCCGCCCGTCGCACAGTCGCGTGTAGCTAGGGGTCATTGCACGAAATACTATCTGCTCGGCGACCGAATTTTAACTCGGCGTGCCATAGCAAACTGGTCCCTATCACCGCTGTATAAAGTGNTACGTGCAGTGATTACCCACCGTTAAAATGACCGTTAGAAATCAAATTTTATCAGTTATTTTCATTGATAATGGAGAAAACACTTATAATTTCATCATAACTATATACCATTAGTTGAATATAAAATAACTTGCAAAAATAATTTAACCTCTAAGAAAGTCATTCCTTAGTAAAATTGTTAAAGTCTTTACCTGTTTGAGTAACATTTTCACCCGTCTTGACAAAATCCGCCATAACTGTTTTTTTTTAGTGTTTCCTATTGTAAATTTTAAATCTACTGTACATTGATCTCGGAGCCAACTACTTAGTAAATTCAAATCTAACTAGAGTGATTCAAAGTCAGCACCTGACAATATTATTCTTAAAGCGGGCAATCACTACCAATGGGCAATCACTCTCTGGTTTACCCTACTTTTTATTCGATGTAAATTGTGCGGCCATGAATGAACCGTTTTGGATAACTATTACAAATTGCATTCTAAAGCACAGATATCCATAACCGTAATCGAAACTTTCGAATATCCGAAATAAAAAAATATCCGTAACCGAAACCGGTAATAATATTATTCCTATATAACATCCCTATACCGGAGCACACAGGTGTACCGTGGTCATTACATGGTGTGCCTCGTAAAAATAAGAAAGATTATCTTATTAACTTATTTTTAGTAAGTAAGGGTAAGACTAAAAAAGGTAATTACAAAAAAAAATTTTTTTCATGTGTGGTGTGGTGTACCTCAAAAAAAATTCCTTTTCCTAGATATACCTTGAACACAAAAATCCTATCCTACCTATCCTATATAGCACACATTACATTTGAAACAGCATCCAAAACTCATATCCAACTCCAAGATAAGTTCAAGTCTGTGATTCTTGACTTGTATTTAAATTCAGACCGAGTCAAGTTGGCTCAACATGGTTTGCTAAGTTCGTAATCAAACGGTAATTTTACAAATTTTAATTGGAACGCAGATTTAATTATAAACTAAAAGTATTCTCTTAAAAATATTATGTGAAAAAAATATACTCACTGGATATGTTTCTACTGGTTTTGTTTCCATTCTAAGATCCCATACTTTTAAACCTAAATAATCTCGTGACATCATATATCTGAAAACGAAAGAGAAAAAACATTGTTAATTGCGGCATTTTAGCAGGTTTATTACGTTTCAAGAGTGTCTACCTACTACCATCGAGACATTATTTTGTGGGCTTACATTGGGAAATGCAACAAGAATGAAAGAGAGGTTACAGGGATGTAAAGCTACGACCGGACTTTAGCTCGGCGTGCCATCGCAAACTGGTTCTTATCGCCGCTACATAGAGTGCACGCACCTGCCCTCTTTGCTGAGCTTGACGTCGCTGATGGAGCTGATGATCTCTGAGAAGGACTCCTTGACTAACACAGTGGGCCATTGCAAACTGGCCCCTATCACCGTATAGTCACTGACCTCTATACACACTGAACAGATTGTCTCATACAAATGACAGTTATTTTTGTGTGCCAATCTGAAGCGCCACTACGAATGTCCTGAGAACTAATTTTGACGTATAATATTATATGGAGTAATTATAAAAGTAAGCGAGAAAGAAGATCACTAATTTTAGGTCCGTGGACATTCGTATCTCCCTACAGCAGTATGGCCTACAGCGCCAAAATGGCGAAAATCAAATAGGCACAAAACAGTGTGTATAGAGGTCAGTGTATAGAAGTGTATACTCTGCACGCACCTGCCCTCGTTGCTGAGCTTGACGTCGCTGATGGAGCTAATGATCTCGGAGAAGAAAGAACGCGCGTGCGGATCCTCAGGCTCTTCGAACAACTTGGCGTGTCTGTCGCACAATGACCTCTAGCTACTCATCCTTATCGCTCGCGCGTAATTAGGTATATTGCTGTCGCGCTCGCACACTCACTGCGGCCGCCCGTCGCACAGTCGCGACTAGCTAGGGATCATTGTAAGAAATTCTATATGCTCGGCGACCGGACTTTAGCTCGGCGTGCCATAGCAAACTGGGNTTTGAGAATAAATATCTTTAACCATATTGGAAGTGAATTACGTTAAGGTTAGAAGAGACTTATCGTCGTTTAAGTTCTATCACCACGTAAGTCATTTTTTGGCGGTTTTGCCGTTTTGATGCCATTCGCTAGAGAATCGAAAGACGCGTCTTTTCGTCCAATCTCCTGAAAAGTTGCTAAAAATTACTTCCGTGGTGATAGAACTTAAACGACGTTATAGTTATGCTATGTTCAAAATGGAGAAGCGCTATGTTCAATGGACGTCCTGTACCCCAGATATGAACTACTTTCGTAATCGCACAGCAATCGTAGAGCTGTAATTGTCATGGCAACGGATCGTTTGTTGTCACAAGAGAAAATCGTTTTAGTATGCATTATTTAGTATTTGAGGATTTTTTTAAAAAGTTTTCTCACTCGCACACTACATACTACAGCTATCTTACTTCCTCATTGTTACAACAAAAATCTAAACCAATCAAAATTAATAATGATATGAATGCAACTACTAAATTACAGCTACAATATTAATCTGAAGGTCATAAATCACAAGTGCATCATGCACTAGATAATTCATACGCAAATCAAATCTAATATCCATATACGAGAGCACATAAAATAGATTTATTTATTTAAGATAACGGCACTCCTTTGATACCGAGAACCAAAGTTTATCTCGGACATATTAATATTTATCTTACATATTAAACCGATTGATGTCTGTTATCTACGATTTAATAAAATTTATTGGTCAACCTCTATCATTGATACACTTTACCTGTAGGAGATAATATAAAAGTCCGTTTGGATCGTAATGAAAAGCGGCGAGCTTTATAAAATGTGTCACAAATTAATTAATCAGAAGATTGAAGTACTGGAAAGTTTGATACTTTATCGCGTGCGTAATAAAGAAACTTAATATGAAAGAATGTTGGCTACTGCGACCGATTCATTTAAACTGATTAGGTTTTACTTAAAAGTAATGGTTATATTCACTTGTGCGACCATGACCATTACCACTAGATGGCGCCCCTATGACTTTGGATATTATAGGAACGCTCTAACTGTAGTCCCTTGTCAACTGTTCTAGCTAAGTCCCCTGTCAAAGTTCTAGCTAAGTCCCCTGTCAACAGTAGCTAAGTCCCCTGTCAACTGTTCTAGCCAAGTTCCCTGTCAACAGTTCTAGCTAAGTCCCCTATCAACTGTTCTAACTAAGTCCCCTGTCAAAAGTTCGAAGTCCCCTGTCAAAAATTCTAAGTCCCCTGTCAACTTTTCTAGTTAAGTCCCATGTCATCTGTTCACCTGGGCGAAGCTTCGACCATGAGCTCGGCGGGGCGCACCGTGGGCACTCGCAGCTGCGTGATGCGCGTCGGGTCCCGCGGCCGGCCGCCCTCCTCGCGTGTGTTGTACCCTGTCACGCGCTTGTCACGCTCTGACACCTGGAAAATGATTACCCTGTCACTGTAAAATATAAAAAAACAAATATACTGGCCCTTTTCTGAATGAGACGGAGCACAGTTTGGCATCTAAGGCTGGTTCTAGTGTCACGCGGACCGTACGATGCGGACCCGCTCCGCACGGCCAATCTGTGTGAACTTCTAGGGAGCGTTTTAGAGTAATGCGGTCCGGAGGAACCGCTCCGCTCCCTAGNAAACTGGGCCCTATCACCGCTGTATAAAGTGCACGCACCTGCCCTCGTTGCTGAGCTTGACGTCGCTGATGGAGCTAATGATCTCTGAGAAGAAGGAACGCGCGTGCGGATCCTCAGGCTCTTCGAACAACTTGGCGTGTCTGTCGCACAGCGCCGCCGCTCGCATGTCGCATAGCCGTATCGTGCCTGGAGAAATAATAGAAAATTTATTGGATTAAGATAGGAAATCGCTAAATATTCGCTGAAGGAAGCGGCGTAGAGGCCTCAGTTGAAGCCACGGCAGGGTTTACCACCTCTACGCTCTTCCTTAGAAGTCTTGGCCTGTGGGGATGCACCATTTGCCTCAAAAATTGCTCTTCTGACGTGGAGATCCCCCCATAACCCACTTGCCATTTTGCGCCTAAACCGTAACTATGTAGCTTCATAACTTGCCGTCTGAATCTGACCATAACGGGGGGTACACAAAGGGCAAAGGGATTTTCTAGTCACATTGCTCCTCTTACTCCGGCGAGTGACGGAGCATTTGAAAATAAAAGGTAAAGCTTTTTATGAAATATGACAAACGTATCAGATAATAATAATATGTACTCACCTTTACTACTAGAATATACAAAGAGATTGCATTCAGTCGGATGGAACTCAGCTGCGGTTATAACCTGAAATAGAAGAAAAAGAAATTTAATTCAAATTTTACCAATAATGGTGTCTAAATATCAAGCGTAAACGAGCCGTAAAAGTAAAAAGGTAAAAAGTTTACACAGACAGTTACTTTCACATTTATAACATTTGTAAGAATATGAATATGGAAATATGGATGTCTGGTCTTGCGCATAACTGACTCAGTGCCTGAGGTACAGAAGCGTCACGAAAAGGGTGTTATTGTGACGTCAAATGAAACAAAGAAGAAACGTCAGCGAGATTTCAGATGTGCTTCAGACTTGTATACTCTTGTCACGACGTCACCCCTCCCGTGCCGCACCCATGCCTCAAGCACTGACTCGGTTAGGCTCGGTTTCCACTAAAGCGGAGCGGAGCCTTATCAAGTCTAAACTGCATCTCACTTAACACCAGCGGGGTTACTCCGAAAAACGTTATCCGAACTTTCGAACGTTGCTATCCCTCTTACGCAAAGCGAGATGCCAGCGCGAGCGACGGTAACAGATAGACCCGAAACTACGTAAACGGTGTGTCGGATGCGATTGTGGTCAAACACTTCCCTTGTCTTGCATAAAAATATCTCCCATACCTCTGTGAGTTCCTCCATATTGGCGGGCTTGATGTCCACAATATTGAAGCTCTGGTCCGTGATCTCCAGATGCCAGAGGTTGATGCGGAGGTCGTCCGCCGACAGGTAAGTCTCCTGGTCAGAGTTCAGCGAGATAGAGTTTATGTGGTATGTGTGCGCGTTCGCGAATATCCGTCTGGAAGGAGAAAATTAAGACTTGTTAGTGTCAGTTATTGGAGGAAAACTCTACAGGGTGGAAACGATAAAGTGATCCCACTCTATTATTTCTAAACTACACAAGGTATCGAAAAAATGTGACTGATCCTGACAGTGCTTCACGAGCTCTTTTAAACGATACCAATATGGAAGCTGCAAACATTATTTTGTAACCTACTAATGGTACCGTTTGAAAGAGCTCGTGAAGCACTTTCAGGAAAAGTAACCAGTTTTTCCATACCTTGTATAGTTTAGAAATAATCAAGTGAGATCACTTATCGTTTCCACCCTGTATACTCAATCGTTTATCCACCACTTACTTAAAATTAGAACAAATAAGTGTTGATTACATATATTAAATTGGAAACTCATGATCATATTATTTACATATACCACCCAGACACCTGTGAGACAGTCCAAATAAACATAAGTAGCCATTCACGAATAACGTTGACATTTTGACATTAATTACAATGAGTGTCTTACTCTTCAGCTGTAGTTTTAGAAAAAAATCTATACCAATCAAAATGAATAATGATATGAATGAAACTACTAAATTACAGCTACAATATTAATCTGAAGGTCATAAATCACAAGTGCATCATGCACTAGATAATTCATACGCAAATCAAATCTAATATCCATATACGAGAGCACATAAAATAGATTTGTTTATTTAAGATAATGGTACTCCTTTGATATCGAGAACCAGAATTTATCTCGGACATATTAATATTTATCTTACATATTAAACCGATTGATGTCTGTTATCTGCGATTTAATGAAATTTATTGGCAAATAAAATAACAACTTCTATCTATCATTGATACACTTTACCTGTAGGAAATAATATAAAAGTCCGTTTGGATCGTAATGAAAAGCGGCGAGCTTTATAAAATGTGTCACAAATTAATTAATCAGAAGATTGAAGTACTGGAAAGTTTGATACTTTATCGCGTGCGTAATAAAGTATATTAAACTTAATATTATGAAAGAGTGTTTGCTACTGCGACCGATTCATTTGAACGTAACGTAGCTAACAACAGAGGTCTTGTGTGCTATATTTTAAGTTGGAACCAAATAAATGTTTTTCTTTCTTTCTTTCTTTCTTTCTATGTCTAAGTCCCCTGTCAACTGTTCTAGCTTAGTCCCCTGTCAACTGTTCTAGCCAAGTCCCCTATCAACGGTTCTAGCTAAGTCCCCTGTCAACTGTTCTAATTGAGTCCCCTGTCAAAAGTTTTAGCTAAGTCCCCTGTCAAAAGTCTAAGTCCCCTGTCAAAAGTTTAATGACCGTTTTCACCATCAATCCCTAATTTTAAGGTGACCCCTCTGAAAACAATATTCCTGTTATGTGTTACCATAGGGTTCACTTAAAAATAAGGGATTGATGGTGAAAACGGGTGTAAGTCCCCTGTCAACTATTCTAATTAAGTCCCCTGTCAACTTTTCTAGTTAAGTCTCCTGTCAAAAGTTCTAAGTCTCCTGTCAAAAGTTCTAAGTCCCCTGTCAAAAGTTCTAAGTCCCCTGTCACAAGTTATAAGTCCCCTGTCAACTTTTCTAGTTAAATCCCATGTCATCTGTTCACCTGGGCGATGCCTCGACCATCAGCTCGGCGGGGCGCACCGTGGGCACTCGCAGCTGCGTGATGCGCGTCGGGTCCCGCGGCCGGCCGCCCTCCTCGCGTGTGTTGTACCCTGTCACGCGCTTGTCACGCTCTGACACCTGGAAAATGATTACCCTGTCACTGTAAAATATTAAAAAAAAATACTGGCCCTTTTCTGCATGTTACGGAGCACAGTTTGGCATCTAAGGCTGGTTTAGTGTCACGCGGACCGTCCGAAGCGGACCCGCTCCGCACGGCCAATCTGTATGAACTTCTAGTGAGCGTTTTGAGAGTAATGCGGTCCGGAGGAACCGCTCAGCTCCCTAGCAGTTCATACAGATCGGCTGTGCGGAGCGATCCGCACTGACAGTCCGCGTGACACTAATACCAGCCTAATAGGTTAAATACATCATTTTAAGCTGTAACCATAAACCATGTGGTCCGGCAGAGTAAAATAGAATCACACCAAGTCCCAGTCATAAAAGGCCCAGACAAATACGTGATCATCAGGTCTTCTAATTCATCTGGCCGGCGTGGACGACTGTAGCCTGACCAATTTGTAACTCTCTAAAGGGGTAACGTAACGCACAAAACGGGACTATTCCCACCTCTCGTTTCCACCACTGCAACTCCTGTGTAGCCAGGATCTACAGCTTGACCGCCATAAAAACCAAACCAATGAAGGTCAACTTTGTCCCGGGGGAAAGTTAAACTGTCATTGGACCCGCAACGAAATTAATCAGAAGAACACGTAACGTAACGCACAACTTCTCATCCATCATCATCATCATAATTTCAGTCATTGGACGTACACTGCTGAGCGTAGACCTCCCCCAAAAACTTCCAGATTGCCCGGTTGTAAAGTAAGCAGATAAGATACATAATTGGTTACAAATTAATTATGTAACATTACCGAATCTTACTTTCATGTGGGGTACAATGTAATAAATTAGCGTTTTTATAACATTATAACAGCGTGCAGAAATTTTAAGTGCTATTTAATAGTCTCATTGAGATAAATTACTGTTATAATTGCAATAATAAATCTCTTTATTGTGATGCAACTTGTTAACAGCATACACTGTTACACACGTTCATTAGAACAATTGTAGTAATTGTGAATGGGAAACAAATGATAATTATTACGATGCAATTCGATATCTTCTATTGGCACTTGGTTTACTCCGTCCTTTTCATGGTTCCCATGAAAAAGTTATATTTAAGTTTGGGAAAGTTTTCAAAGAATATTTTTCCTGTAGCTGACTAAGAACTCAAAAATAGCTCTAAAACCTTTTTTTAACACTTATAGGGTTTCCCAAATGGGGCCTGCTAATACAGCACTTTAGTGCAGCTCAGTCTGAGTAGTTTTGTCAAACATTAACAGGAGTCGAACCTCAAGCGGGCAAAAGTATGGAAGCCTCTTTTAGATAGCTCGGACCAAACACAACGGGGTGATTCCATATTCCTTCTTTTATCCTTTTTTGCAACTAGTCCAAGGCAGGGCGCATATTGGGGGAAGCCTATGGTCCAGAAGTGGACTTGCTTATTTAGGCTGATGATAAATGATGAATGACATTCCTTTCTTCCATTCTAGGGTACATTACACATAGTGAGCTTACCTTCCACAATTTGATAGTCTTGTCATTGGTGGAGAGTAGGAAGTGGGCTTGGTTCTTCTTCTTCAACCACCTGATCTTGTTGATTTTCTCCTCAATCTCCAGCGACTTGAGGTAGTCGAACTCCGGCTCGTGTGACTGGAACGTCGAGTACACGTTGTACTCGCCTTTCTTTGGTACGCATTGCTTGGATGCTGGGTCTCTCTGTAACAAACGGTTTTATTAACATTAAGGTGAGATTTATTTTTTAAAACTTTATGGCAAAGATAACAAGGTACAAAAGGACTTAGACCCTTCGCCCACGGCGACTTTTTGTAGTGATGCTGTCGCGCGTTTCGTAGACAAGCGACAGCATCGCTACTAACGCGCGTTACTCGCATTTGCAACGCACTACAGAAGTGAAGCCAACGCGATACTAACGCGGTACAGCATCACGACTGTATCAATGCGAACGCGCGACAGAATCACTACTGCATAACTACAAAGTCGCCGTGGGCGAGGGGCCTTAAGGTCATAGCAGTATCAACTCTGAAAGGGATCAACAGCGTATCTCGCATTTCGCCAGCTGTCACCGCCTTTTGCGCACTGTCAACCGCGAGACGAGGCGTTTACGTTAATAGATAAGTGTGCGTTGCAATATGGAGTTTCATACGAATAATATTGATCGCCTAGAGTTGATACGGTTACGATCCCTTTCCGGGTTGATAAGTGTGCTACGTCCTTTAGCCGGAACATTCGCCAGTTAAGTAGGTGACAAACAATCCAAATTATCTTCACTCACTTCAAATGCTTGAATATATAAAAGCGAATGCTTTCGGGGAGGAAATGCTAGAAAAGTAGACTTTTAGAAATGACAATAGCATTGTAATTCTCGGTTTTCATTCAAGAATCTAATAGAATATAACACGTTTAAACGTTTCTAGTGAGGAAGAGCCTTAAAAGCTTGACCTGACGTATTTATGTGCGTATAAGCACGTATTTTGATGTTCGTGAGATATACGTTTACCTTGTTATGTTTCACCTGTTTGCACTTGCTTACACGTCACAATTTGTCGGTTACGACAATAGTCTATTTCACTCTAAAAAATGTTTAGTTTTAAGGATAACAAATCACTAAGGAAAACTGTGCAATAAAAGTTATTCATTCATATAGGCAACGGGATCAATCTCAACTCTTTTCTAACACTGCAACTTCTGTATAGCCAAGATCTTCATTTTGGTCTCAAATGAAACCCAACCAGTGAAGGTTAAGGCCCAGAACAGACGGTGAAACGCAACTGCAACGAAACTGCAACTACTAGTTACTTTTCAGTTGCATCTAAGTTTCTGCCATAGCGTCCGTTGAGAGACCACACATGACGCGACCAGGTCGCGTCAAAAGTAACTAGCAGTTGCAGTTTCGTTGCAGTTGCGTTTCACCGTCTGTTCTGGGCCTGAGTAGTCCCAAAAAATTGTGAGTAGTCCCAAAAAATTCTTGAAAGTAACAATGATCGATTCGCCAAAAGATAGACCGAAAATATAATTTGATAAAGATATCGATTACAAATCGATCTCGACCAAGACATGCCCTTTTCGAAACCTCCGATGCGTCCGTGTAAGGAAAGGCCTCCCAAAAACGGCGCAAGCGAATTTCTCTTCGTGCGTTTCGCGAACGTTCGTTACGTCACAGATTTGTGTCACGGCGACTGACGGAGCGGGACATACATAATAATATCCTTATCATGTGAATCATTGAAAAATTACGGTGGGGTGATAATATCACTATTCTAACGCTACTTGAAAATGATACTGGATTGAAATAAATTTGTTGTAGGTCATATAATTTAGGAAAATTATACTTCAGTTTAAAAAAACGCAGCCTCACGGTCCATTACGTTATTCATGTGCTCAGATTTATAATATGTTTACGATTTTAGACATTTAAGCTAACTGTAGAACTGAAGTAGAAAATACTGCTGGGATGGGACCACAATCGATTCAAGATTAAGTAAATCACCATAGCAATAATACGAAATGTCCCATGCATTTAAAGCGAATATTGCAATACATCTTTGTTCCAAGATCGCTCTTATAACGACTTCATAAGAAGCCACAGTTTTAAGCTTAAGAAATAGTGACCCTTTTAGCACAAAATATAACAGAAGGTAAACTCATGTATGTACCTCGCTTTGCATACCTCTCTCGCTCGCACGCTCGGCCGTCGCGCTAGGGTTGTCTTGTCATGTGTTGCGTTTATTTCGTTATGATAGAAAAATGTTACTCTTAATACTATGCAAGAAAGACAATAACAGATATCCACGTATACTTATTTTTATTTAGTACGTTATTACAGCCTTGGCCAAAAGTATTGAGCACCCATGATATTTATTAATTTTGAAGGAATTATACATGTGTCTGAATCAAAACAGTTTTTAACAGTTTTATATTGTTTATTAACAACAAAAAAATAATANGTGTGCGTGGCTCGAGCGCGTTTAGTATGGAGTTTGTCTTCTGTTATATTTTGTGCTTTTAGGCTGGTAACGCTTTCGAAACAGCTGAAGATCGTGACATGTTTGGGTGAGGCTCAATCAAAGGTGTTTTGGTCCAAAGTATCGTTCCACTTTCATACATGTTTGTCTTGCCTAAGACAGGCCCATGCACTATGGCGAAATACCTGTTCATTGACCCATGAGACTGATAAATAAATAAGATACATGTGCGTGATCTTACGTTCTATTTGTCAGCCGTTTGGTGTAGTGGTTCTTACGGACTCCTATGCCAGAGGTCGCGGGTTTGATTCCCGCACACTAGAAACATTATTTTGTACGCATGAACATATTTGTTAGTATTGGTCTGGGTGTATTGAGAAAAAAAGTATTCAAGCATGTTATCTGTTTTCTAGTACCCATAGCACAAGCTTTGCTTAGTTTGGGACTATTATAATGAGAAACGTTACGGTTTTTCCACTATTCAGTCTACAAAGTCTAATTTTGTCTCACAACAAAACAAATGACAGTTTCTTTAAATTAAACAAGTCCTTACTCTTTCTAGTATGATTAATAAAAATATATCATACTACAGTACGATGAATAGTACTCGAATGATCGTAATCGGTCCAAGCAAGCTGCCATCGTTAAACTGGTTTGGGACAGTTTTTTTCGCCAAAGGTGGACGAACAACAAAACGGTACACCTGTTGGTTCGCGTTCATAGTAATTTACCGACGTTTGCCATCATATTTTGTAGTACGTTAACATGTTTAATATTGACAGTAATTGAGGTACATGTTTTTATTTGCAACTTATTCTTATGAGATTTTTAAGGATAAATGTGTCAACTTTCATTAAATAAAATATTCTTATTTTTACGTACTAGCTGCATTTTGCGCATGCGACTTGGTACATTGCGTGTGGACATCATTTTCCGAAGTATTCATAACTTTCCCACAGTCTTCTCATTCACATTATTAATGGGTCAAGCAAGCTATATCCCAGTTTCTATATTACTTCTATTAGCAATCTAAATAGAAACTACCTCACTTTAGGTTCTTAAGGATGGGCTTAAACAGTGTAGCCAGTAAGTACAAACTTCTTGTAAAGCCATTTCTATGAATGTTTGGATGTATCACCAGTGATACCGATTTTTCAAGAGCAATCGGTTGTTCAGACTGGAACTGCAGTCCTAAGATGCACGGGAAACATTTCTCGTCTAAAATCAATAATTTCCAGGATGAGATTATATCCTGGGCGCGCATCCTAGCCAGGCCAGGCAGTGGACGTAAGGGGGGTATCCATTAATTACGTGAGACTTTTAGGGGGGGAGGGGGTCCAGAAAATTCTCACATAATCTCACGGGGAGAGAGGAGGGGTGTCGAGAAATATCACGCAATTTTTTTCCACAACAAACAAGAGCAAATCCTCCGTCTGCATTTGTGAACACAGGCCCAGTTTTTAGATCCGCAATTTTTTTCGCAGGTCGGGTTTTTTTTTAATAAAATTTAATATTTTCGAAGCATGGATTATCTCATTTACATTGCAAATAGGCATTTTCGAAAATCTTACGTGAGATTAGGGGGTGGGGGAGGGGGTCTGGCAAAATCTCATGAAATCTCACCAAGGGGGGCGGGGGGGTAAAAAATAGCCAAAATTGTCTCACGTAAATAATGCCTAAGCGGGCAATACGACCCTATATTAGTATCAAAAATGTACTTACCTGAAATATGACGACTCGCCCGCCCTTGTCCCCAGTGGCCAACAGTTCACCGTCATGGTTGAACTCGACACACGATATCAGGTCGGCCTCGGTCACGTCATCCTCCAACGTGCCCTTCACCTGACTGAAACACCATGTGGTCTCCCCACCATTGCCTGAAATGATAGAGAGCGTGATGGGAATTCGGTGGCAATTGCAATAGCTTTAAAGGTCAATTTTCTATGAGTTCACTCAAGGTATAGTTGTTGCAATTCACGAAGGCGAGTGAGCTCTACATGTGTGGTGGCTCGACAAGGAAAAATTTCCGTGCTAAGCGATTTTGCAGGTCCAATGACAGTTTAACTTTCCCCCGGGACAAACTTGACCTTCATTGGTTGGGTTTTTATGGCGGTCAAGCTGTAGATCCTGGCTAAACAGGAGTTGCAGCGGTGGGAATGTGTGGTGGCTCGTAACTGTTCGTTTTTCTAAAGTTTTGATAGATATTACACTACCGTTAAGTGCATGTATTGTACACGTAGACACACAAGTAAAGCTCACTCATAATCTGGAGAACTGAACATTATTTTGACAGAGAGCTTGATGGGATTTCAGCAGTAATTGCAATAGTTTAAAGGTGATTTTTCAATGAGCTCACTCAAGATGGTTAGGGATAATCTGCACTGGAGAACTAGACGTTCTTGCAATAACAGAAAACCTGATGATACTTTGGTGGCCATTGCAGTACTTATAATGTTCATTTTTCCATGAGTTTACTTCCAAGTGGATATGGATAAGCAGTGGAAGATAAGCAGATTACTGCAGCAAACATAATTCAACTTGAGTTGATAGAGACACAGAATGAAATCGAAATAGCTTTGGAAGAAACTTTAACCAAGCAAATTCAATTCAAATCACAGAAAATCAACATGAGATGTGTTAAATTAGAACTTATTAAAAAACTATAGTCTTTTATGAATAGTAGGAATAAAAGATAATTTGTGGCCAGTGAGATGATAATAGAATGCTAATAATAACATCTTTACTAAAAGTAAGAGTGAATAATTCAAGTCACACTTGAAAAGGCCATTTCATGCTTTATTTGAGCATAAATAAATGTATCAATCATCAAAGCACCAACATCAATCATTTTTTTCTGACAATTGTTATCAAAAACTATGATAATAGAAAAAAATCAATAGAGTAGATAAAGTAAAAGATAAAGTAGAAAAAAAATTGTTGATTCTTCATTTAGATGCAGGTTAATAATATGTTAATTTTCAACCATCATAATTTCTTATGTGCATCTAAGGGCTAATTTTTCAATCGTCAGATATCTTTTAACTGACGAATAGTCTTGTCATTTTGACATATTTCCCATACTAAAACTGTCAATGTGCCAAACTTATTCTTCAGTTAAAAGTTATCCGACGATTGAAAAATTAGCCCTAAATGAAAATTCAACTAGAGATAAATTCATCCAATAGAAAACATTCTCAGAGTTTTTTGTAAAAGATACAAGCATTTTCAATGCAACTTTGATTTCTGTAAATCTAAATAAAAGTAAATGTTACTTACCCCCTTACTAATAAAACTTACACGCTCGTTGGACAGTGTTTTAAAGTGACGTTTAGTATAAAAATGTCATTTTAAAACAGTGTTCAACAAAAGTGTAACTTTTTATTAGTAAAGGGGTTAGTAGGTAATTAACATTTACTTGGATATTTCAAAGTTTAAATAAAAATGCTTGCATAAGATTTAATTAATTCAAAATAGAATAGCAATCAGTCAATTTTGCACTCAAATTCATAGGAAACACGGAAGAAAATCGTAAATAATGCAATGTACGAACCCTAGTCAAATCGGTTAGATAATAGAAAACATTAATTTGTTAATCTAAAGAGATCCTACAAGATTAGTAAAAATAAATACTTAGAAATTGATTAGTATGTTAGATTTCAAATATAATAGAAAAATTACTAATCATTTACCTAAAATTTACTTTTAAGTTTCAATAATTTACTTCTAAAATGACTAATGTTAATCTACGTAACATCAGATATCTCAATGATCAATTCGGTTCTCGCAACGGTAAGTTTCATAGCAAATAAGGCATGTAAAATTACATACAGTCACAAATAGTGTTCCAATGTAGTCGGCATGAATGATGACGCCAGTTTGTGAANTTTGTAAAGTTATCTTGTATCCGAATACGATGATTTGAATACCATGGCACTTCTTTCTTTTTCAACATTTCTATTTACATAACTATCGTGAGTTATCAGTGTTCAATTAACATTTTTATGTTTTTCTAAGTCAAACTAAAAAGGTTACGTTAAACACACTGGCACTCAAACGTGTCTCAACTAAGAATGTAGTGTAGAATCGGATTTTTGAACCTGTTTTCATGTTGTTCTATAGTAACAGTATACTTTTGAATGAGACCTCTTGTAAACGGACACCATGCTTTAGAAATAATCATCTCATTGTATGGTTAAGACAATAGCTGTGAACACAAAGGGCTTCCTTTGAATATTATGTAACTTATTTTATTGTGACATGCATTGTTCATGCACCTCACGTCAATTAAAATAGGGTTGATAATTATTTGGCAAATTGTAGGATAGCCAGTGTATAAATAGGGACAGGTTATAAAACTGAGTTAGTTGTCTGTTACACACAGAATCGAAATCATCTTAGCACTAAAATTGTCACCAATTTCAGTTGCAAAGCAAAGTAAAAAAATATTTTTTTTAAATAATTTTTATGAAAAAATATTTTTTGTTTAAACAAGTGTATTATTACAATGTCAAATCTCAATTCATGGAGCAACATTTCATTGTTTCAAACGTTTAACAATTGGATCAAATGATGTTGAATTCAATTTGTGTAAAAGGCACTAAATAAATAAATAAATAAATAGCTATCTTACATAAATGTGACGTGTAAAACACAAGAACTGTTTCGCAAAATTTGCAATTTAATTACAAAGAAACTAATAAAAATAGAAATACAAGTACTAAGTAGGTCATCAGGAAAAATTGTAATCAGATTTGGCATATCACCAGAAATGGTTAGTATAGTAAAACATGGTCGGCATAGTAATTTGCTATGTAAGGACAAGGACACGAATTTGTGAGGATTAGTTTTATTTCTAGCTAGTAGGTAACATTATCACATCATTAACTATGCAAAAATGTGTATAACACGATAAAGAGTGCTTGACAATACTTTACCAAGCATCATTATTACTTTAAACTAGGTAACTGCCATTGGTAACAGTAAATTATCAATTTAGCAAAACAATCTTTAATTTCAAAAGTATAATTTGTTATCAATAAATAATTATAAACAAACAATGATTACAATATTATGGTTATTTGTATTACATAAACCACTAAAGTTTACGATACCAAATCTGATACAGCTTTCTTGCTTTATTTCATTAGTTAGATAAAGAATATTGAACTCAAAAATGCTTTCATTAGTTCTGAGAAGTCAAGTCTAGGGTTATAAAATTAACTAGCTCTATGAACATAATGGTTGGTAGCCAATCATGTTTTAATCCACAAAATGTGATACCAGTGGGTAAATAGTGAATTACATGCAAATGTGTAATATCATGTGACATGTTGATTACATAGATCCACTGTTAGCGGTTCACAAAGATCACTATTATTATTACAGGTTATGTGCCTACATCAGAAAAATTGGAAATACCACTATTGTTGTTTGATAAAAATGAGCATTATGCACACAAATGAAGAATATGTCTGTTTGGATCTACTAAAAGTTGTAGAAATGTGCATTTTTCTGAATCCGAAACAGTTTTATTACATAAAGAGGGCAGTACAAAAAAAGCGTCTGGGTTGATGCTAACCTCCTACTCGTTTGAATAACGTATTTTCTTGACAAACATCAGAGTTCGCGATAATAGTAAATAGATCGGGAGAATAGATAGCAAATGTGTTTCTAGCTACGAGAATATGCTACGTCAATCGTTTTATACGCTACACTGACCTTCAAAATCAACAACTGCCATCATCTGATTTCATACAAACAATCATTGGCGCCCGCATAAACATGGAATACGCCAATTTTACGACCAGCTACGACAAAAATACCGTTACGAGAACCTTCTCCGATCTACTTTTCTAGCGTTATTGTAAAATCAAGGAGCAAAAGGTTAAATCTATCGGCGTAAATGATAACCAAACATTTCCTAACCAAGCCATCATCACAGTATGTAAACACTAAATACTGTTAACCACACTAATGACAATAACATTGCATTTACCGTCAGAGTTCGAACGATAAAACATCTTCGAAATATTGCGATTCCCAAATCCAATTTCGCCCTTGACTAGCGGGCGCTAAAAGTCACCACTTACCGGCCATGACAAAGCCCAGCACAAAACTTTAAGAAGTTCGATAGTTTTAGTACACAATCACTTCAATGTTTTGCTAAAACATCACACAAATATGCCGATGAAAATAGATTAAAATCATTTCAACATTACATCGGTAAAAAGCAATGGCGCTCAGATATACATACAAATAATTACTGCAGAATTCGATGTTGCCATACTATAATTTGAAAAACTACTATTTATATTGACAAAAAATATTATTTATTTATTTACGTTATTGTACAAAAATGAATACGTTTTTGTAAAAATTGATATTTTATGTTTCTCATTTTTTCACCTCTTTTCTCATGATCAATGTTTACCAACATACGCTACGCGCGCTCGAAAAACGTCTTACTACCTATATTGAACAGATTGAACTGATATCTGTGTTTTGGAGTTTTAAAATACAAAATACCTATAATTACTCTGATCACCACAACACAACTCTTTTATTATAATTATTATTATGTAATTTTAATTTAATTTTGTACCGCCTACTCTATTTCCAATTTAGTCTTAAGGTTAACTGGAGAAAAAAGCCAAAAATGGCATTACCTTTTCAGCGCCACCGCTTATGATTATGGATTGGTGGCGAATAGGTCAAATTTGACATAATTATTATGTAAAACTGTAACTGTAAATTGTATTAAAAAACCTAATACAATGAAGAGTTCAAAAACGAAATACGTTTCTAAATTACATAACACTAAATTACGACAAAAAGGAGGTAAAATTATTATCTTGAAAAATGACAATACATAATTTATAATATGATCAAATTAAGAAAGATATAAAAAACGAATTTTTTTCTTTCTATTAATATCTTCTTTTAATCAATACGTATAATTATAAAGTGCAAAGATAAAACTTTTCAGTTTTATAATAATTCGTAAAATATGCATTTTTGTAACTTCATACCAGCATCGGCATCGATGCATTTATCATAAGGCATTGATGAATAAAATCCCAGCGAGCAAAATAACTAGTGTAAAACTTACTTATTGCAAGTTAGCACAAAAATAATTAACAAACAATTCAACAATAACTTGATGGTATTCTACTACTCTAGTAAAAATATATAAGGTGGCAACACTGAACCTGTCAAACGTCAAAAGTGACATTTACGGAGCAAAACAGTCGTGCAAAGGCGCGCATTTCGCTACTACGCAAGTGGTGCCATCTAGATTTTGATGGCGTAACGTTGGACTGTTTTATCGACACACAATGTCTGTTTTATTTTAGCCGTTAAAAAATTAACCGTACGCGATTCACAACAAAAAAAAAATACAAATAAAATAACATTTGAAAATAATAAAAATGTAAAGTTTATATTTTTTGAAACTCTTTGCTTATCCCGGAAGTTCCCTTGAAGTTGGTTGGGTGTTTCAAAATTATGTCAGTGTCACGAAGTGTGTGAAAATTCACGCGCAAATATTTATTTTGAAAAGGAAAATTAATACAACTTCAAAATGAGCCATGATATGTTTAGTTCGGTAAGAAATTTTATTGTTTTCATACATAAGTCTTCACATTACACAATCTAAGTAGGAACTAAGTAGATTGTATTCAATTTTATAGACTTAGTCAGAGGGGTCCAGCTCTAGCCACATAATAGGCTGGATTGGGACAAACTTAAAATCTTCTTTTACTTCGGAATTTTTAGGCAAGTAGTTATTTTCTTTAAAAACCTACCATTCTTGTTCCCGTGGTCAAAAATGATGCTCAGCTTTTGTAAACTGTTTTGGCGCGCCTCCGCGAACAGCCGTCTTTTGTTTTTCGGCGACGACTGCGTTGCGAGCGGTGACACCACCATGGTCGTGGTAGACATCATACCACAGCCACCATGTCACAGGCTCTGTNATACAGAATGGTTATCGACTACAGACGTTTGAACGACATAACGATCGACGACAAATACCCATTACCAAACATTAATGATTTATTTGATAAATTAGGAAAAAGCGTTTACTTCAGTACGATTGATTTAGCTAGCGGATATCATCAGATTGAGGTAGAAAAATCCGACAGACAAAAAACTGCCTTCAGCACACAAAACGGTCATTATGAGTTTCTCAGAATGCCCTTTGGCCTTAAAACAGCTCCGGCAACATTCCAAAGAACTATGGATAATATACTTAGAGGTCTACAAGGACTCCATTGCATGGTTTACCTTGATGACATAATTGTGTATTCCAGCAGCTTAGATCAACACCTGGAACATCTAAAATCAATTTTCGACAGACTCAGANATGTCACAGTATTTTGTTGATGAGACTCCGTCCGACTTTTTTTATAGGTCCATGCTTACGCATTATAGTACACTGAGCATGAATAAATATCGCTCTCGATTTTTTTGTACGTAAACCAAAAGAGCTGCAGCGCGATCATTCCTTAGAACTAGAACTCGATTACGAGAGTCATTCGTGCTCAGGGTACTAAACGTACGAGAGTAACAAAAAAGGCACAAAAACCGTTTCGGTTTGAAATGTAATATCGTATCTTCGAGTTTATTGGACATTTTAAACAGAATTTCACAAGTTTTAAAACTTATCGATAAAATGGTTATTCAATGATTACATAATGTAAGACTTGTACTTAGCTTGTTTAAAGAAATTAAAAGACGATTAAACGGCAACAAATTAGGTTTCAATACGAAACTGAAGTCTGAACATAAGTTATTTTTTTAAGTTTATTAATTTGGTGTGTTTATCTTTCATTAATTAATCATAGAATATAGTTAACCTCCAGACGCTCCTTTTAGCTCTCAAGCGTTATTTACTTGTTTTAATTAAATAAACTGGAGTAAACCACTCAACCAATGGGAATTCGTTTGGAGTAAACAAACTTTGAAAGCCTGTATAAATATTTTGTAAAACGAGAGATAACTAATGAATAATATCTACGATATAAACGAGTTGTGACATAGCAATTTGCAAGTTCTATATAGTTACTTCACTTAGTATGTAAGTACGGTACATATTATGTTATTCCCTATCATATAGTATTTTCTAATTAGCATCTTTAGTTACAGGATAGTCTTATCTTTGCATAGTATAAAACAAAGTCGCTCCCGCTGTCTGTACGTTTGCTTTAGATCTTAAACTACGGAACAAAAGTAGGAAGGAAGCGAGCTTCCGGAATCCTCAACCACAGAGGAACTGGCTATCTTACCTCTAACTGCCGGAACACAACAATGCTGTCAACATTGTTGTTATGGCGACAGACTTAGGTAAGATGGTGGTAGCTAGCCAGGCGGACTTAGAACAAGCCCTAGCACCAACCAAACCGAACAGAAAAATCTGCCCCCACTGGGAATCGGAATCGGGACCTCTGCGTCTGAAGCAGGTGGTCTTACCACTAGACCACAGAGGCGGTTAAATCTGAAAGAAATCTGAAGTCTCATTGACGTTTGACGTTTCAAAAACATCCTCCCGTGCCGTTTCATACCTCAGAGCCCCGATTACGGTAATTTTTTAACGTCAACAATCCAGACACGCTTCTCGATTCTGCGATACGATTGGTCGTTCAACAGCGTACGTCAGCTGTTTTGACCAATCGTATCGCAGAATCAGAAACGCGTCTGGATTGTAGACGTTATAAAGGCTCTGGCTGACAGAGTTTAGCGCCAACCCATAATGCAACAGGCCATAATAGGCTCGCATGTAATTAGTAAAATGCCTAATCCATATTTAGTTTTGGAAATAGCAGATCGACCATCATACTACCTAAAGCAGTGGCTATGCTCGCGGTGAAAATAGATCGCTCTAGTTTGGCTTAATTTGCGGACTATCCCAATGGCGTAGTGGACGAGGCGCGATTACTTAACCAGGTGTGAGGGTCCCTAGTCCCGAGTTTGACTGCTGTGCCACAATTGATCCAACCAAAGTCAAACTTGGGACCCTACGCCTTTAGCATTTTATATATTTTACATAACACGACAAGAGATCAATGAATTAACAGTACAGCGATATAGGGCCTTCCTTTGAAAACAATTGGATTACTAGGTACTTGAAAAGGACTTAAAGTACAACAATTTGATTGACTCATAATAATTGACTCCAATAAAATCATTTAATCTTAGACAAGATTGATAGAATCAAGCTGAATTATGATAATTAAATCTGTTACTACGTTACCTAAGGATAAAAATCTAGACTAAGAACTTAATCTCTTCCTTGTATCCTCATCATAAGAACTTCTAGAGGGAATGGGAATGATGATTTATTGATGCACATCTTAGCATGTGATTCAGCAAAGGCGCAACTATATTACTGGAAAAATAATGTGTCAGGTCAAAATCCGAAGTCTAAATGCGTATTTATTACTACCGCCATAATTGCCCGGGTCACTGGCTCGGTCAGGAATAGATTGGCCCTCAATGACATGTCACGATGTCAACCACATTGTAGCGTGGACTTTATAATTGAAATGTAATTGGAATTGAGTCTTGTTCTACCCCATTGAATTTGTTGATACAAAAAATACTAATTTCAGAACATTGAAGAACTAACAATATTAAAAACATCTTTTGAGAAATTATACTTAAGTTTCTTTTTTATTAGAACCCAATTCCCACATAGGGCTGATCCCGGGATAGTCCCGGGATCCCGGGATCACCCATCAAAAATCCCGTAATCCCGGGATTGAAAAACATGCTCGGGATTGTATTCTCTATGCACATAGCATGTGATTCAGCAAAGGCGCAACTTTATTACTGGAAAAATAATGACAGGTCAAAATCCGAAGTCTAAATGCGTATTTATTACTACCGCCATAATTGCCCGGGTCACTGGCTCGGTCAGGAATAGATTGGCCCTCAATGACATGTCACGATGTCAACCACATTGTAGCGTGGACTTTATAATTGAAATGTAATTGGAACTTGTAAGTCTTGCCCCATTGAATTTGTTGATACAAAAAATACTAATTTCAGAGTCATTAGTTTTCCGAAATAGCAAAAAATTACCACATAATACAGGGCTGTAAACATAAGTAAAGTAATTTGTTGCCAAGATCTTCAGAAGCAAAAACTATAAGTAAGTAAGTAAACCGGATATTTTCATAATGTACAAAATCTGAGAGACAGGCCAAAAATATGCCTAAGTCACCAAAATGCTAGTAGAAATAATGTAGCCTGTGCTAAACAAGAGCACAAAATACTGCAAAAAAGTTATGATTGACTTCAGCACCATGTAGGTACCTCGATACTAATGCCATGTTTCTCTCGAAACCCTGGTAGGTACATACCTATAAGGCCTAAAATAGAAATATACTGTGAAGAGCCTCATAAAGGCTGAAGGTACTAGCTCAGAATCATCTAATATGTATCTCGTCGCACTGAAAAATCTATAAGCAGATGCTTATGTTTACAATACATTCCTTCTCCAGACCAGCTTTCAAAATATCGTCATTCCCAGACTCATCGTAAATTCCTCCTAAATGGCTCAGCTCGCAAACTAACCGGGGTAATTGATACCGACTCGAACTGATTAAATGCGATCCGCTGCAGATTTGATTACAATCGTGCAATACGAAGGAGCTTGCGTTTGTGACGTCATCTGCAGACACATACGAAGTACCTAGTTAAACATAGTTTAAGTTCAATTATCTTTCACGAAATAAACTGAAGTTTCCTGAAATAAAAGCTCACGTGGAAAATTTGTTGAAAATCACCGCGGGAACATCTCTGTCGCGCAGTGGCTGGAAAATTTCTTCAACAACAAAGTCGTTCGTACCTACCTTATTTATTTATTTGACTCTTTATTTATTTTCATTTTTTAATTTTGTTACAGAGCGCCAATGACCAGCTCACGAGGGAGCGGGGAATATGCATGGAAAGTACGTAATCATAAAAAAACAATATTGCTGAATGTTTTTTGTATAATCCTCTAGCTTTATTTTATCCCGAAGATATCGTTATAACGATACGCCCACCATAATTGTGCTCCAATTTGTTTTTGTTATCTGCCACTGTTTTATGGTCTATCTATTCTCACGGCGAATCAATCGATAGTGAGATTAAAGAGTAAGTAACTGCATAGTTCTGTGTAGACCTACAGTATAAATCTTCTTCATCATCATAATTTCAGCCATAAGAGTCCACTGCTGAACATAAGCCTTCCCTAATGATTTCCAGATAGGCCGATTTGTAGCGGCCTGCATCGAGCGCTTTCCTGCAATCTTTAGAAGTCATCGTGGGTCGTCTCACACTGCGCTTTCTTCTTCTTAGTCATTTCTCTCTTAGCAGAGCGGCCGTGGTCACATAAAGGCGTTCACATCGGTTGTAGAGGCACGATCACGTCTGCACGGTCTCCCGCCATCTCTCCCTGTTGGCAGACTGCCTGGTGCAAGCTGTAGATCCTGGCTACATTGGAGTTGCAGTGGTGGGAACAAGAGGTGGGAATAGTCCCGTGCTTGGTGCTATCAGATACGCGGTTTCCCACTGCCGATTTTCCTTGGTCAGTCCAGGGCACCTATGCCCTGATCTGCCATGCTATCGGGTTCCCTGTCGCGCTGCGTGCACTGTTCTTATTCAATCCTAAACTGTATTCTTTTGTTTTTCAGAGGACTGCCCTACTAGAAAAGCGTTTCTAGAACTCCGCGAATGCCAGAACCGCATCATGAACAAGCCGTACACGGCTGAAAACTGCCACCAGGAGACGGTAGACCTGATTGAAGCCATCGACCACTGCGTTGCTGATAAGGCTTTTGTCAAATTTGCTTGAGATTCTTTAAACTTTTTGCTTGAAGACCTTAATAAAGTTGATTTGAAGTAACATGGTATATTTTTTGCGCACCCTATAATATGACGTTTTCAAGTCAAATTATTCATTACTTTTGTGTCAAAGATTGGAGACAAAGATTTTTAACGCGTAGATAGGTAGGTGTAGGTATAGGAAAAATTGCTATCAAGGTTAGAACTATTCATTAGTACAATTAGGGCCAATTACAAGTTCACTAGCTCCTATTAAAATCTCTGACAGGGACTTTATCTGTCTGATAAACTACTTATGGCTTCACAGCACTCCATTACAATCTTCCTTCTGCAGTTAATAGTGGCTATTTTGAGGCTATGTGCTGTAAATTTTTCCTACCGACAAATTAAAAACGTAGGTGTGTCAGGTAATCAGGTTTGCCCCCACATATGTGCCACATTTATGGCATCTGGCATCTCACTAATAATGGAGGAATGCGTTATTATAATGATTGTGCATACCTCTTTTTGGGTCTATAAATATACAGATTTCTTTGTAAGTAGCTCTATTAGTTTAAAGGAGACTAGCTTTTTCCCGCAGCTTCAACCACATTTCTGTTGTCACAGAATGTCGTAATCGCGCGAGTGTCTCCCTTCCAAAAACCAGGAATCTTCCTTTATTTTTTCCTGAATCAAACTATCTCATCTACTCCGTGATTCTCTCTATATTCTTAAACTATATTGTCACCGTGGTCGGTTGGAGGACTTGGAGGAGATCTCTTTTATAGAGATAAGCTTACCATTCCTAGATTTCTAAGATTTTAATGTAGGTAAATCTGTGTAGGAACTGTTAATTAAATCTGATTATCTTCTGAAATTGCTTGAAACAAGTGCAATCGGATCGGACTTTCTTTCTTTGCCTTTTGCATCAAGTTTACTGATTTTACTTCAAATCGATCACGGCTGAAGGTTTCTTTAAATTATTAAATACCTGTCTTATTGAACTTGACCTCTTGACTCAAGCAAGGCAAGCATCGATTTGTGAATCACTTGAGTAAACAATCGGTTTAAACGTTATCGATGTTGAACAATCGAGAATCGGACGTGGATTGTGTTTAGGGTTCTTGATTATTCACGATTAATTAAGTTATGGTTGTTGACATTTGGAGTTATCATAGAATTTAAGATGCTTGGTATCGTTGACGTCAACGTTGATTAATTCTAGTTCAATTTGGTTTCATTCACTATCGTCTTATAAATGGGTTTTCCATTTTGTTGTTTTAGCCAAATGACGTCCACTGCTGGACAAAGGCCTCCCCAAGGATTTCCATAACGACCGGTCCTGCGTTGCTCGCATCCAGGTTCTTACCGCGACCTTCACCAGATCGTCAGTCCACTTAGTGTCTAGTCCATATTAATGTCGTAGTAGTCCATTTATGTGGCTAAAAAATAGGTAGCAGTCATAAAATAAGCGGGAAAACTCTTTAGCGCTCCATGGCAGGACCAACATTGCCGCATCTCGCAATGTAGGCCTGATAAATCACCGGTCAAAGAATCATTGGGGGAGGCCTATGTTCAGCAATGGACGTCTTAAGGCTGAAATGATGTTGTTGAAATAGCAATGACAATCTAATCACCTTCAACTTGTGTTGGTGCGTGCATACGGAAGATTAAATACAGAAACAAGCCTATCTGGTTGACTGTATTTTTTTACACATGAAAATCAGTCGTTTGAAATTAATTATACCTAACTGCCTACCTCAAAATAACGACTGTCTCTATCACTCTGGTACTCGTATAAATACTTCGCTATGGATCGTTTCCTCTTGATTACTTTAACTAAGGTAGGACATTTTTCCGGGTCATTTCCCAAGCAGATGGATAGGTACTTATTTTAAATGCGCATGACTGACTCCGAATAAACGACAACAACATAATATTATTAATGCCCTAAGGGCAACAAGGACAATTTGAAGTAGGTAAATAACATCAAAAAAGTATATTTACTCAGGCCCAAATGCGTATGTTTGTAACGTCACTGTTTTGAACTTCAAATTTCTTTACCCTTTTAAATACAAACCTGGTCCTTCGAGCCGGATCAACAGCTTTTTAAAACCTAAACAATAAAAATAGAAAATCAGATCCTATCTAACAAAATTAGTAAAGTCATACGGAAACGATTACCTGTTTAAGTTATGTCTTTACTGTCGTAAAGGATGGAACACATTTTCTATGTAGATATAAGTGTGAAGTCGTAAATCGCAAACATTGTTTCCGTAACATTATAAAACAGCAGTAACTTAAGTAGGTATTATTATGATCGTTTATAGTTGTCAGTGAGGACTAACGTAACAGTTGTTACTACTGGCGATTGAGTAGCAGCAGGACCCTACTCTACAGTGTGATGGCGCCATCATTATGGTAAAGGCAAATGCGATAGTTTCTTACCGCTTCAGCGGCGTCACCACAGTGGCACATAGTGGCGCTAACTAATAAGCGCTTACAATTACAATTACAAGTTGAAAACCAATTTATTATAGAAACAGTGGTTTAAAAAAAAAAACAAAAAAAATCAACTGGTACGTTTATGCAATGACCATTTAAAAGTATTAACTAGGTACTGGAGTTTCCGAGAAAAACAATAGATAATGGAAACTGGCTCTTTCCTTATAAAGCTGTCCTTCGATTAGGTTCATATCCGCGTGTATCTATTCTGGTTTAGAACCTACTTCGTCATAGTCAAAGGGATAGTGTGCGTTTCAAAATTACAATAAAATTATTTACGGTTGAAGTTGACGCTCTTAAAAATTCAAATATTTTAAATAATAATAAATAATAGCTTTATTTCTGAGAAGTACCTAATAGTACAGACAAAACATTTTCAGTGGCTTCTGCACTAAGCTTGTATCGCAGCGGCCAAATAATTTTATTTCCATTTTTTTATCCCAGGAAAATGGCCTATCCATACCTACCGCCGGGGGACGACGGCAGGTTATGTGGGAGTGGTGGGACTCGAACCCACTAAAAACCTGGGGTGTTCCTTCTGCCGTATAGTGGAGATTAACGTTAATTGTTGCAAAAACTACATTTTTAAGTCTTGTATTGCTGTTAACTGCTGTACATTAATCTCATCACGCTATAGTGCACGATGTTCTACTCAATCAATCTATACGTAATATTTCCTGGATTCGCACGAATGGCTTTAATTATTACCACACTTTTATTAGCATAGTAATTGTTCATATACTGATGCATGGACGATATCACATTAAAATAATGTAGCATCTTATGTCGTTGCAATAAGGGTGGTTTTGCCACAAAAGTATATTCAGGTGCGGTTAGCTGTACAAAAAAAGATGTATGTAATTGTACTTTCTTGTTACATCATCGTCACTACTGTAATTAGTACATTGATTAAATTTATTTCTTTTCCTTATAATTTAAGGATCGTAATTTATTAGTTTTGAAACTTTTTACTGGGCAAAATTTTTTGTTACATAACTTGCACGGATACTGGACAAAAGTAGAGCGAAAATAATACGTGTAAATTTCTACTAAATGCCTAGGTACTATTTCAGGTTTAATGTAGTTTTAGTTGTTAACTGAAACTGAAATCCTATTAGGTATGTAAGTATCAGGAGGAATTGTCTTGTAAAAAATAACATAAATGGTTTTTTTTTAAACGACAGTTTTTATTTAAACAGTGCACTTTTAAACAAAAGCGCTGTCACGTGACAGGGCAAAATTTTTTGTTACATAACTTGCACGGATACTGGACAAAAGTAGAGCGAAAATAATACGTGTAAATTTCTACTAAATGCCTAGGTACTATTTCAGGTTTAATGTAGTTTTAGTTGTTAACTGAAACTGAAATCCTATTAGGTATGTAAGCATCAGGAGGAATTGTCTTGTAAAAAATAACATAAATGGTTTTTTTTTAAACGACAGTTTTTATTTAAACAGTGCACTTTTAAACAAAAGCGCTGTCACGTGACTCAACGGAGGGGAATCACCGAATACACATCTATCGACCGAGCATGGGAATAAACTATAAAAAGACATGAGCACAATGAGCTTCAGTCATTAACACTTTGTATACTGAAAGGAAGGATTACAGAGGCTTATCTAATTTATTTGCGTCTAGCGGACATAGGATTTAACGCCTCGGTTGTCTAATATCTGTTAGAGAGATCGAATGACCCTTTCAGTGAACACCTTCTGAAAATGTCAAATGGCTAAAGTAATAAGAACGAAAATATTTTCGAGAGGATTAATAGTCTCACAGTACTTAGTAACTACTTACCGAGAAAAAAAATGTAACCTCTGAGGTATCTGACCCAATAATTAGTGACAAATATCAAAACATTGATTCCTTTGGCACAGTTACAAACTAGACTAAAACATAAACCTAAAGATTAAATTGATAGCAAGCACACTGTAGTCTTTGTGCCTATCTACCTAATTAATTTCCCGATTAAAACTTTCATTTACCAAAAGATTGCTCAAGAGTTCTGATTGCTTAATAATTTCTTTTTCATGAGCTCCTGATCGTCTTAGGTCAATTCAAATTAAGTATTTTTATTCGAATCAAAATTACTTTACAACAACCATTCCTCTGCTATTTCAGCTCACTTAATTAAAAGAGCTGACTGAAGACCAATACCACCTCAACGACCCTATAGTATTCGGTTGATTACGTCATTATATACTTCAGTAAATAGGGCAACGACCGGAGAATCGAGCGAGACCGCGAGAAGTCGTTTGATGTGCAAAAAAGCGATGAACAAGCATTATTTTTTGCAGAAATATTACATTTTACAAATGGCTGAATAATAAAGAATTTTTCTCTGTACCACCGTTGCTAGGTCAGCTTTAAATTGTTTTTCATCCTCTTTTTGTTGTATCAAATAAGCTGTAATAAATTTTGTGTAAATTAACTTACCCTAGCTCGGAAACATATTTTATTTATTTTTTAACAATTATAAAAGTAGGCCCCTACCTAATTAGATTCTATTACAAACCGGGATAAAGAGAGTTTAACTCCAAAGTT